AGGGGGGATAAAAAGGGGGGAATAAGAAGAGGGGAGGGGGGAATAAGAAGAGGGGAGGGGGAATAAGAAGAGGGGAGGGGGGAGTAAGAAGAGGGGAGGGGGAGTAAGAAGGAGGGGAGATAAGAAAAAGAGGGGGGTAAGAAGAAGAAGGGGTGAGTAAGAAAAAGATGGGGGAGTAAGAAGAAGAAGAGGAGGGAGTAAGAAGAAGAGGAGGGAGTAAGAAAAAGAGGGGGGAGTAAGAAGAAGAAGAGGGGGGAGTAAGAAGAGGGAGAGGGGGAATAAGAAAAGGGGGAGGGCGGAGTAAGAGGGAGAGGGGGAATAAGAAAAGGGGGAGGGCGGAGTAAGAAGGAGGGGAGATAAGAAAAAGAGGGGGGTAAGAAGAAGAAGAAGGGGTGAGTAAGAAAAAGAGTGGGGAGTAAGAAGAAGAAGAGTGGGGAGTAAGAAGAAGAAGAGGGGGTAAGAAGAAGGGTGAGTATGAAGAAATGGGGGGAGTAAGAAGAAGAAGGGGGAGGAAGAGAAGAAGAAGAAGGGGTAAGAAGAAGAAGGGGGAGCAATAAGAAGAAGGGGGGTTAAGAAGAACAGGTGGGGGAGTAAGACGACCAAGGGGGGAAGTATGAAGAACACAGGGAGGAGGGGGGTAAGACGAACACAGGGGGTGTGAGGAGAACACATAGAGGGAGGAGTGAGAAGAGCACAGGGAGGGTGGGTGAGTGTGAGAAGAGACCGCTAGGGGAGGGTGGGGGAGAGGAGAGACCACTAAGGTGCAGGGGAGAGCTCTACGGGACAGAAGGGGCAGCTCTATAGGACAGGGGCCAAGACAGGGAGCTCTTTCACACTACGCGCGCGCACACACACACACACACACAATGCATCCCTATACATACACAGAAACACAACATGCTTCCCTTACACACAGAGAAACACACAATGCATCCATTACACACACACACACAATGCAACCCTTACACACAAAGACAATGCATCCTTTGCACACATACACAGAAACAGACAATGCAAACCCATACACACATATGCAAACACACACACTTCTTTTCTTACATACACACAGAAACACAATGCATCTCTTACACTCAATGCACACACATACAGACAGACACCTTGCATCCCTTATGCATACAAACACAGATTCACACAATGCATCCCTTACACACAACCAGAAACACATAATACATCCCTTATACACAAATACACACTGCTTCCACTACACACAAACACACTACATCACCTGCACAAACTGGTAACCCTATACACTACATACCATAAGCACACATATTAGATCCTCTACAATAACACATAACACATCCCCTACACACTCCACTCCCTGTGAGCGAACTCATGGGTGGGTGGAACTTATGAGTGGGCCTTATGGGCATACTCACCGTCAGGCCCTGGGGCCCAGACCTTGAGCTGTGTAAGGGGCCCCAAAAAATGGAGCTGCTTCCAATTCTCCCAGAACATTGAATTTTGTGACCACAGCTGCAAACAGCCTCCAGAGATCCTGTTCTACACCAGACCAGTGGAGCCAAACTGCAGCCCATCATCATCCTCATCTGCTTGTAAGTAGGCAATCTAGTATATTATTAGTGACACTAATCTATAATGTACCTCACATTAAAGGGACACTATAGCTTAATGAAGTGGTTCTGGTGTCTATAGCTGGTCCCTGCAGGCTTTTTAATGTAAACACACACTGTGTGCAGCACTGGCGTTAGTTCATATGGGTGGGGCATTGTGATGTCACATGGGGGGGCAGCAAATTTTTATTTTGTCTAGGGCGGCAAAAATCCTTGCACCGGCACTGATCCTGGGCAGGTGCACCAGTCTACTGGTGACCCACAGGAGGGGAGTGCACTGATTGCACTGCACTCTCCTCCTGTCCAGCCCCATCTTTACCGCAGTGCAAGTGCCCTCTGCCCCTAATTTACAGTGGCTCACACTCACAACAAGCAGTGCCTGGAGCCGTGAAGGAGCGGGTATGGCAAAGAGCTACTGATTAGCATAACATCAATATCCGTTATAAAACCAGGAAAAGGTGGGCATGGATGGTGAACTGATTTGGTGGTGCAATGGGCCACTTGACTGGTTTTGCCCCCCAGGCCTAAGGCTGCCAGCCCTCCCCTGGTCAGGGAGATGGGGCCTTGCAGAGATAACTACTCCCTTTTAATTTAGCTCAGTGATCACAGACTGGTAGGGGTCTGTTCTATCTAGGAAGATAGCAAAACATTGCAGGTGGCTGGGTGTGGCCTTGAATTAGTAGAGTATGCACCTGCAACCCCTCTATCAAACACAAATTGGCAAATCCAGCCCTGTATATATCTCAATGGAACATTCCATGCACCAAAACAACTTCATATTAGTAAAGTGGTAATGGCACCTGGTGTCTGCCAACGCCATCTTATCTTCAAGTGTTAAACCTTTTTTTTAAATGAAGAGTCCCACAGGTCTGGTCTGGCTTCCTTTATGAAATTGCTTGCAAATGCAGATGAATTTGCTTGACCAGCAGTGAGAGGCTGAATAGGTCAGCTGATGCTCTCAGCCAATCACATCAAAAGCCATCCACATCGAGTAATACTACAAGATGTACTTATAATTCAAATGACGCTCTCAGCCTATCAGTGCAGCTCAAGCAATTGCTTAAGCATCTGTGTGCAGTTTCAGAGAGCATATGGCTTTACACTTGAAGATAAAAGGCACTGGGGGACTCTAGACACCATAGCCACATTATTGACATGAAGTGGTTAGGGTTCCTGTAGTTTTTAGCTTACTTTTCCGTGTTTTAAACTTCACACAGTTTATAAAGGAAGATGTGTCCCTAGGCTGCTGCCCTGCTGTGTCTCTTCTTGTGCGTGGGCTCATCCTGTACAGTGACACTGCTCAAAAATGGTTTAAGCCTGGACGGAGGGTCAGTGCTAAGGAAACTCTAGGCACTACAATGGAATTAAATGATTATAGTGCCTACAGTGTCCCTTTAAAGTCCCTTACAGATCTCTACACAACACATACAAACTCACACTCCCTCTCTCTCTTTGCTTCATGATACTCAGAAGTCTCACAGGCCACTCTGTTAGTGTCTTGTCTTTCATTTAAAGAAGCATTGTCCACTGTTATGATTAAGATTCCAGGAGCATACCTCCCAAGTGTCCCTATTTTGGAGAGACAATCCCTTTTTTTTGTCCCAAATGCCTATCTCCCTCTTTCCTAACCTAAAGTGCTTCTTTTGTAGAAGCTACAAATTGTTGATGTTTCTGAGTGTATATTAGAGCTCCACAGCAATAATACTCACAGCAATGTGTATTTAAACTAAAATAAATGTGTAAATAAGATATGCTGTAAATTATAGTTTAGTTGCATAAATTGTTATTAGTAAGTCACTTAAAACCTCTCCGAACAACTCAGCCCCCTGACACACCCCTAAATTTAATGCGTCTCTTTAGACAACTTACCGTGTCCTGCAGTGCAGGGCACTCATGGGTGCAGCCCTTGCTTCTAACCTTCTCCTGCAGGACTGCACTCACTTGATCGGCCATGACTTATGCTATAGTGGCTCCGAATTCTCCTGTAGACAAACCAGGGGCAGCAGGGGCACTTGGGGGATACTAAACTGTCAAACCATACTAAAGTGGCTTGACTACTTTTGTTGCACAACGCCAGGGCACTCGTTGCACCAAAACCACAACAGCAGTTGTAAATCAATTTTTTTTATTGAAGATACGCAAGACACACTCAACAAAACACATGAGAACAAGTAAAGCTTTGACATATCAGAACAACAGGAAATATTAAAATACCTATTTAGTTTGTTTTGTTGTTGTTGCATAAAAGGTATCAGAGCCAGGATACACTGTGTTATAAAACAATACAAATTCAAAGGAAATGTAAAATGATCAGTGGTTGAATTTGCTAAGTGAAAGGTATTAAAAGGTACAAGGTGATAATATTTATTTTCTTTTGTTACAGGTACATATTATAACGGAATCTTGGGAGATTCATTATGGGTAATTTCACAAAGCAACCATGAAATAGCCAGATAAAACAATTAAGTTATTCATCAACTCATCATGTCTGACAAAGCTTATTTTCATTTAAATGGCTTTGGCAATAAGCAATACTGTCATTTCTGGGGTACAGAAAATCCATGGATACTTCATCAGCACCAATTGCACCCTACCAAATGCACTGTCTGGTGCAGGGTGGACTTGCAGGAAATTATCGGGCAGAAATGTAAATGCTAAAGCCTAAAAAGAGTAAATGAGCAATGCAATCAAAAGAGCCCAACTTTGCAAGGTGGCAAATGGAGTTCATTTAAGATGTCATCTCCCGTACCTAGTCAAACATATCTCCACACGTTAAGCATTTATTGTATGTATTATTGAAATTGGTTAATTAATTAAAAAAAGCTATTGACTTCTCAAACCCCACTCTGAATTTTGTCCCACCCTGTATAAAGATTAATGCATTATGTCTAAGCTGTGCTCCCAGCTCCCAGTCCCTAAGGATCAACCGACACGCATTGGGGGTATTCGTCAAACATTTTAGAATGATTTTCCAACTTACCTGGATTCCGCTGTTAAATGACAGGTGGGAGAAAACAACTATTTTTAAATAGGGTTTTCTCCTAAATCTACACATTTGTTAGCAAAAATGTATAGATGAAATGTATGTCATGCCCAGATGTAGTTTTGGGCATGACAAGTGCCCTTTAATTATGGTTACAGGAGTCCAAAGAACACATTTTCTTGACAAATCTGAAACTACATCCAGCTCAGCTATTTTGGCATTGTGATTGCAATTCCTGGTTTAAAGAATAATCCTGTTTGAATTAATGATTATACATGACTGTGTACATGTAATTCACTGGAGTTGGCTAGTTAAATCATTATTCTGTTTAATGTGAAATAAGCCATGCCATGTCAGACAAAAATGCACTTACTCACTAAACGAGTTTTGCTGCCAAATAGACAACAAAAATGCAAACTTTAGGCCAAAATAGTGGAGCTGCTAATGCTGCCAAGTTGGACAATGTTTACAGTTTACATTTGATGGTCTACATTTTGCAATTCTTAAATAATTTATCTACCATTCCTGGTTTAGTGAATGAACCCCAAAATCCATACAGTTAAAGGGACACAACTTTAGGTTAATGAAGCAGTTTTGGTTTATAGATCATGCCCTGCAGTCTCCCTGCTCAATTCTCTGCCATTTAGGAGTTAAATAAATTAAATAATAATTTATACAGCCCTAGTAACACCTCCCTATGTGTAACGTACACAGCTTTCCTAAACACTTCCTGTAAAGAGTCATCTAATGTTTACACTTCCTTTATTGCAAAGTCTGTTTAATTTAGAATGTCTTATCTCCTGCTCTGTTAATAGCTTTATAGACCCTACAGAAGCTTCCTGTATGTGACTAAAGTTCCATTTACAGGGCATAAGATAAAAACGTTTAAAGTAAGTTAACAGCTGATTGAAAGTGAAACCATCTTTTTTCATGCAGGTTGTGTTAGTCACAGACAGGGGAGGTGTGGCTATGGTTGCATAAACAGGAACAAAAGTGATTTAACTTCTAAATGGCAGAGAATTGAGCAGTGAGACTGCAGATGCATGATCTATAAACCAAAACTGCTTTATTAAGCTAAAGTTGTTTTGGTAACTATAGTGTTCCTTTAAGTACTTATTGCTCTAGAAGAGGGCCAGGCAACCTTCGGGTCTCCAGATGTTGTGGACTACATTCCTTTATAATTCTTTTACAAACGTAATGCTGGTAAAGAATCAGGGGAGCTGTAGTTGATAACATCTGGAGTGCTGAAGGTTGCCTACCCCTGCTCTAGAAGAATTTCTAGATTTCTTCTGCACAAATTTCTGATTGCCACTTATTGTACAGTATGTCTGCTGCCTAGTACTGTGTTCACATCCCATCAGTTCCAATGTTCCACACACAGAAAATGGCGACGTAAAACTCCAACCCAACCCAACCTTCACTTTCCATGTATCAAAGACTTTCCTTTTTTTTTTTACCTTTGTTCCATTCTGACTGTCATTCATACATTTAACCAGCAGGGGGACTCTGCACTCTGTACTCTCAGATCACATCACACCAGGGCTTCCCTTTGCATTTTCTCTCCTGTTGAAGTAATTTATTATTAGAGCCAAGAAAAAAAAAGCATTTGGTTAGAATTCTAACCCACAGGCCTGACATAATACAAAAAACCAATGTCTTCTTTTTCGGAGGAATGTTCTCTCTTAAAGTAAAAACATGAAACAGTCAAATACTTTTCCATTGCTCAGCTGTCTTCGAGTTTAAAAGTTCTGTTGGGAAATTAGCAGACGCTGATACGTTCAGATGTAGAGAAACCATGTCTTATTGCTCTATTTGGTGTTGTAAGGGCACAGTCTTTTGTTTGACTGCTAATTGTACGTCACTGAGTGTTAGAGCAGCTGAGTTACATTGTTTTGTTAGTACACTATATGGTACTTTCCCATCCCACCCTAGATAACTACACTAAATTAGTACACATTCCAAAAAGGAACTATCGTGGCAAACACTAGACTGGGTGCTTGACCTGAACTGACCGTTGCTTTGCCTGATTTCTCCAGACTAAGGCCTTGATTTAATTATATCAACAAAAAAAGTCGATCATTTTTTTGTTTTCATTTTGACTGGATTTAATGCCAGACAAAATGCAAGCAGCCGAACCCAATAAATCCAATAAATTAGTTGGCAGCTCACAATAAAACTGAAGATAAATGTGCACTGAAAGAACATTTTATTAATGATTTTAAAAAAACCTATGGGGGTCACTATGAATCCTATATTTAGTTGACATCCCATGCGGGGGCATGTCTACTAAACAGTGGGCAGCCACCAGCTGCTTACTGTTATAAAAAAACCTAGCAACTAATAAAATGCAAAAAAGTGTGATAGAATAAAAAAAATTAAATATTTCTACACAAGTCTCAAGAGAAATTAGACTTGCCTGTCAGGTTTACAAGACACTCTGCACAAAGCCCTGCCGTCCACCCCCAATTATTTAATTTTTGGCTCCCATCCGATGCCCATGGTGTGCCCCTGTGCCAAGTCCCCCTGTATTTTATTACCGACTGGGCAGCAATAGCTACTCAGTTGCTAGTTTTGTATTACAGTGGGCAGTTGCTGGCTGTTTACAGTTCAGTATACATGCTCCCCATCCATGGCATGAAGAGTGGGAGATAAAGGAAGGTTTAATACTTCCTTATACCACTGTGGGGGTCATATTGACCACCATAGCCTTTTTTTTCAACTATTTGTCGGCTGGCTGCTAGTGCTGTCTGAGGACCAATAATAAAGAAAAGCATTTATCAACTACTTTTACTTGTCAAATTCAATGAGAATGCCAATTGTTGATTATGTGCCCAATAAATGGTAAATCACCAAAGCCAATGTTTTTAATGTAAAAAAAATGTATAGGTTTAAATTTTTGCACCCTTAATTATCCGTAAAGAAAGAGAGAACATAATCTGTCCTAAATAACTGGGATCCCAAATAAACTAAGCATTTAAAATCCAACGATGCACTGACTGAACGTTACTCTAGCATAACCTCTGAAATCAAGACTGCCTAACCCCACAAAAATAAATATTGTCAGCAAATCTAAGGTAGGTATGTGGACAAGGTAGGAGTTGAAGAGGAGTAGATTTTATCTGAACTATTCACCCTAAGCTAAAATCTACTCCTCTTCGACTCCTACCTTGTCCACATACCTACCTTTGATTTTCTGAAAATATTTTTTTTTTGTGGGGTTAGGCAGTCTTGATTTCAGAGGTTATGCTGGGGTAACGTTCAGTCAGTGCATCTTAGTTATCAGTACTTTTGTTAATTCTTAGTTCAGTTTAGTATTAGGTGCCCTTGAAGGCACAGTTGTAGGGTTATAGCTAAACGGTTAGAAGTTGGCATATATTCATGCAAAACCTCTAGTATCAAGCGGACATTACAGTCAACTGTTATACAGATTGGGGCTTCATTGCATGACTCTTATTGATTAGCACAAGCGATTGTCTCTTGCTAACTCTCATAATTCTAAGCTTGAACACTTTATGTGTATACCACAGATCATATGCTATACTTTTCTTTATTAAGTGTTCTTGCATAGCAAGACCACTTAATGTTATCTCACATATATATTATTATTCTTATTATAGTCAAATTTACCACCCTAACTCCTCCCACAGTTTTTACACTACATAGACAGTAATATACCGAAACGTGCGGATTTTTCCCGATTGGTGTGCTATTACTTTGTGGAACGTTTGCCGAATGGTTCACGGAATATCGTCGTTCTTGTGGCGAAATTGGTCCCATAGGAATGAATGGCAAAATGTTCAAAACTAGAGTGGGATCTGGCAAAAGCTGAAAAATCAGGACATGATTTCTAAACTGCCGCCACTCCCTCATTTTCAAGCCCACCTACACAAATCTTATATCAAAACGTTCAGGTATCCCTGCTGCCGGCTAAGCCATAGTCCGGATGGTTTTCACAATATGACCATTTGTTTGCAACTCACGCTGTCCATTGACATTCATTGAAACTCCACTCTAGCCAGTTTAAATTTGAAGGGCAATTTCTAAACTGCGACTGTGCCTTCATTTTTAATACTTCAGAGACATAATATGCATCAAAATGTAGGTCTGGGTCCTGTGATTCTCACAATATAAAGCGCTTCACTGGATTTATAGGTTGTAAAATACGACCGTTTGAAGATGGCAACCGCCAAAATACTCTGACCTGTGCCAGGCTGGAGCAGCAAGTGATGTCATAGACAGGGCCTTTTGAACACCTGCTAATGTTTTTATAAATGTATGGTTTAATGTAACTGAGCAACAACGTTGCAATTAAATGTGCTATGTAAATGATAACAGTTACTCCGCCCACTCCAGTTGTAGACTACTGGTGGAGGCAAGAACACTTCACACAATTTCCCCAGAAATTGTAGCTTTTCTAGTTTTATCTGTAATTAGAGGTTTGCGACAGGAACTCAATACAAGTTTAGTTTCACTGAACTAGACATTTAAGTGATCTCCCCTTTCTCCCTCTATGTTCTAATCTTTGTAACTAAAGAGATCTTCACCTTTCCATTTATTACTACAATCACATTAGATACTTTCCGATAGTTACTTCTTTTAGTCATTACTTCATGACTAAGTATCCTACTGTTTGACTAGCTTTGTGAAAGGTATTCACCAGTTTGTTTTATCTCTTGTTTGTATATATCCCTATCCCTTGTATATATTTCCCCATCCCTTGAATCCCTGAGATTTAAGGTTACTTTACCTTTTTTAACTATATCTATTAAACGTTAGATTTTTAATGCTTAGTTTATTTAGGATCCCAGTTATTTAGGACAGCTTACGTTCTCTCTTTCTTTATATTTTACTTTTGTGAAGGGTTACTCCCTCTAATCTGTCCTTTAGATAGTAATCATACACTAAAGTAACTTCCTCTACAGCTTCTTTTCTTTTTGTGTCCTTAATTATCTGCTTTAATGGCAGTAATTTAATTCATCTAGAGCATTAAGGACCACTGAAGTCACCCAGACCACTTTATCTCAATGATATGGTCAATGTTGACTCCTACTCCAATATCTCTGTGTCTGTTATAGACCATGTAAATGGCATTCCTTCTAATCATTAACACAATCCATTTATTAAAGACACATGAGAAATTAAAAATCTGCAGTTAGCAACACCTTCCAGTTGTCAAGCCAAAGTCATAATTGGGGCGAAGGGCAGTAATAACACATTTGAATAATACTCCAATTAAATAAAAACAATATACTCTATGATAATATTTTCTTTATGAACAAAGCCTAGGGTGCAGTGGTCCTGTCATATTAACCCTGCAATGTAAAACATTGTTCTTTTGTAGAAACTGTACTTTTTACATTACAGAGTTAAATAAGTACTTCTCCTCCACACCGAGTGAAACATGACCCTAGAATCAAATGCTACTGATAGCCGCGCATGCCTACTCCATGAAAAGTAATGGATTGGAGGAGAATGTGGGTGATGTCAGCTTGGATGCTGACATCACCGAAGCTGAAGGCTGCAGTGGAGGAGTCCAAGCGCTGTAAAGGAGTAGTCTTTAGTTTACTTAGATTTTTTAACGTCAAGGTGGAGTGAACAAATGGGAGGAGTTTGGGGGGGATGGGGGGACTTTTAGTCCTCAAATAGTGATGTTTTATTTTCAAATCTATAGGTTCTCTTCAAATGACTTGTCAGGAGCTGATAACCTGGTGATAAATGTGATTGTCTCGAGGCCTACGTTTGATAAACAGTTATTGGGTCCCTGCTATTCTACTGTAATGCAAACAAATGTTTCTTTCTCTTGGTAACTATCTCTTGGTTTATTCAGCCACATTTTTCTAATCTTCAATTACTGTTTATTCTTGTAATATTGTTTTTGCTAATCTTTATTTATTATTCTATTAATACTGTTTTTTATATAAAATTTTGTAATTTAGCAGCTTTAATTAAGTCAGAATAAATATGACTTTAATAAAATTCACTAGTATTAGTTCAAGTATGTTTTGTACAGTTTATGTTTTTTAAAAAAAAAGTCCTGGCCAGCGGCACCTTTACTCTCTTATAAATTTTAAAAACCTCTTAAAAACAAACTTTTCATACAAACTTTCCTTCACTGACCGTACATCAATCATGGGTTCATGAGAAGGAGAACAATGGGGAGAACAAATATTGTGTTCTAAAAAGTGGTCTAAAGTACTAAAAGACGATCAATTGACTGACAAGGGAGAGCAAAAAAGACCTCCCACAGGCAGTCCATGTGCCCTCAATGCATAGCAACCACAGCGAAGTTCCTAGCGCTGACTAGTGAGTATAAGAATGGAGTGATTGACTTTACCCCGTTCAGAAATTAGCATGATGGCAATAAATCCAGCATGTGATATATGATGTATTCAATGCATTTGAGGCTGATTTATGTTAACTTCATAATTTCTTTAAAGAAAATATAATAAAAATTAATCGTAACAATAATCCTACTGGTCACTATTTTCTATCCTGTCCTCTCTCATTTCATTCTCTACCTCATCCCACTATCCATTATATTGCCCCATCACTAAATTTACAGTTTACTGAAGAAATCCAGTTTGACTTGAAAAAGTATTCTTTGGAACAGGAAATGCAAAAAAAAAACCTGACTTGCAAAATTGAGCTCAGAATGACCCATTGACTATACCAGGCATAACAAGAATATTTCATTATTTTGCCACACAACACATTTTACGTTAATTACAACGCTAAAATATTGCCAGCATTCACCCTTTGATTACTGAAGATACAACTAAGGCACTTTTTACATTATTAGAGTGTGTAAATTTAGTTTTTGGAAGTAGTGGGAGTTTAACATCATTCAAACTTTTACTCTACTTTATAAATTGAAAATATCTTAGTAGTATGCTGTATGCCGTGGATCTGATCATAATAATTTTTGAGGCTCAGAGATTTATCAAGACATTATCATGGTTTCCATGGTACTTGCTCTGTATTTGGCACTTTGCCCCAGATAGCACCTGTTTTGGTCTTGACAAATCTTACTGTATAGGGGAATGTTATTACAACTCATTCTTTGTAAGAGTACGGAAAAGCCTCTTTAAAATCCCCACAAATTACATAGAAAAGTACCATAAATCCCTTTGCACCTCTCATACAGGATTGAAGCAAATACTTTATTGCCAAAGTAAACCAGTCTTTGTGTATTTGTTGTATAATACATATAGAATTATTTAATGAAGTGTGACTTTCTGGGAAATCAAAGTGATATCACCTATAGTGTCAGTTTAGCTGTTTGACATAACATCTTCAACTTTTTCTAATCAAGTAACTGATTATTTTCAAGCGATAAAAAAATAATGGTGAACTCTTTATCTAACAAGTACCACAAATGTCAATAATTCTCTCAACTAATAGTAGTGTCCCGGTACCACTGTGTTCCAGAGCTGGTACTGCCTTACTCTGTCCAGGGACGTTTTAGCCGCGAGGCAAACAAGGCATTTGACTTGGGCGGCATTTTCCATGGTGCGGCAAAAAAAGCCGCCCCAAATGCCCAGAGGCAAATGTCTTGTTAGCTTTGCGGCTAACTGACATGCTGGGCGGGCTGGTGGTCTGGTTGCTGGGCGGTCGGGGGTGCTGGTTTGCGACTGGCGAGGGAGCACTTCCTCTGAGCTGTCTTCTCAGCTCCCTCGCGCGCCGCAGAGTGAGGCTGGGAGCCGGAATATGACGTCATATTCCGGTTCCCGGCATCACTCTGCGGCGCGGGAGGGAGCTGAGCAAAGTGCTCATGGGAAGTGCTCCCTCGCCAGTTTGCACCCCAGTGCTGCCCAGCAGCCACTGGACCCCCAGGGAGAAAGAGAACCCCCCCAGCATTCCCAAAGGTAAGGAGGCTGGGGGGTTTAAAAAAAAATGTGTTAATGGGAGTAAGTGTGTGAATGTCTGTTAGTGTGTGTGTTAGTGTGTGTCTGTTAGTGTGTGTGTCTGGTTAGTGTGTGTGTGTGTCTGTTAGTGTGTGTGTGTGTGTCTGTTAGTGTGTGTGTGTCTGACTGTGTGTGTCTGACTGTGTGTGTGTGTGTGTGTGTGTGTGTGTCTGTTAGTGTGAGTGTGTTTGCCTGTGAGTGTGTGTGTGTATGTTAGTCTGTGTGTGTCTGTTAGTGAGTGTGTGTGTGTCTGTTAGTGAGTGTGAGGGTGTTTCTGTTAGCGAGTGTATGCGTATCTGTCGGTGAATGTGTGTGTGTGTGTGTGTATTTAGAAGGCAGAGGGAAGGGTTGGGTGGGAGTGGCGCGGGGAGGGGGGAGGAGGGCGTCTGAGTTTTGTCCTGCCTAGGGCAGCACAAAACCAGGATACACCCCTGACTCTGTCCGATTAGCTTTGCGGTATAGTGGATTGTTGATACATCTGCTTATGGCCTCAATTATGTATGTCATCAATGCCAGGTGGTCACCCTTTCTGATAACATGTTCATCACCACTTTCATGTTTAAACCGTTAAAAATAAATTTTAAAAAATTATTTTTTTAAAACCATATCCCCAATATAAAATCATTATAAGGTTCCACATATATCCTTGTGCAAAAACCCAAGATCAATTCTCAGAATTTGTTTAGGCTGCTGTTTTGAGAAATCAAGACAATATACCATTAGTGAATGTATAATAATAATGAAAGTGGTGTTTTTTAAAATCTTAATACACTATGTCAAAGGGTTCCACAGGAAAAATCAATTGGGGACCCCTGCTGTTACAGTTAAAGGAGATATGTATTTATAATGAAATACATTTGGGAATTATCTTGTTGATTGCTCAATTTGGCAAGTGAATGATAAAGTGAAAGAATCGTATTAAAGTGTATATAAAGTAGTAGAAAAGGAAAGTTGATCTCATTGATAAAATCCTGCTGTTCGAATGAAACACATCTAGTTGCTAGGAGAAATAAGTAAAGATTTTTAAACTTTTAGAATTCACGTTTATTTGGGGGTTTTCACATGTCGACTTCTCCTGCCTTCTTTCATTTCCTGTATCAAGCAAGTCTAACAGATATTTAGAGAAGGGAAATAAGGCATAAACTTTTACACTTGGCACATCATGAACTGCAATGTGTAATATAATTATTGAAGATTCTTCATTATAAGTTGGATAATTCTGAATATTTTCCAAGGTGGACTGTTACTCATGGACAGAAAAACACACATTATAGAGTTTTAATCTCATTTTTAGGCATGCACTAATACTGGTATTGCTTGGAACAATAAATGCAAACCTGCTTTAGGCCTTCATAAACCGGATTTACCTTGAGTTCATCTTGTATGGTTGGCATGCCGTTTAGTTGTAGTTCCTGTAGTGACCAGACAAGTTTTCAAGTCAACCTGTTCTCTTGACATCTTGATGGGCTAGTTTCTAGTTATTCCCTCTCATTACCTCTGCCATTCTTTGTGTTAAGTCCAGCAAACCTAAGGACCAGTAATGCAACATCTTTATCTTTTCATCAAGCTAAAATTATTTTGGTGGTTAGTTTCCCTTTAAGAAAATAGAGCTGATTTAGAAGAAATCTTTAAAGGAACGCTCCAAATATCATAACCATAGTTATGGTGCCAGGAGTGCTTTGGTGCTATTCTACTGAAACATGTCATGATGGATCCCACAGGACACCCACACTGCTTGTGGTCTTTTTAAGCTAAAGAAGCTACAAGTCAATTTTGTGCTAGACAAAATCCCAATAATAGGTGACTCCTGGTGCAATGTCCTAAGGCACCCTTAATATTCTGCTAAATGCAAAAAAATATACCACATGCCTGCAACATATAACTAGATAATAGAAACAGCTTTATTTTACCAATGTGGACCTAGCAATGTTTTGGACCCAAATGGGACCTTTGTCAAGCCTGGTGTTATCTATTTTGGAATTTTGTGTCCATTCTGTCAAGGTTATTGGGAATTACTGAAAATTCTAAGTGAATTTCAAGATGTCAGTAACAAAAAGTTGTAATAAAATTATATTATTATTATTTCATTATTTATAAAGCACCAACAAATTCCAAAGCGCTGTACAATGTGATTTAAATCTGACTGAGAGAAGTAATCCAGGTTGCTTATGTTCATCTAAAAGTTGAAATTCACTTTGAATTCCCATTCCCATTAGTTCGAGGCTATGTCCACGCTCTCTATGTAATAAAATGTTGGTGACAGTTCGAGGCTGTGTCCACGCTCTCTATGTAATAGAATGTCGGTGACAGTTCGAGGCTGTGTCCACGCTCTCTATGTGATAGAATGTCGGCGACAGTTTGAGGCTGTGTCCACGCTCTCTATGTAAGAGAATGTTGGTGACAGTTTGAATGTTGGTGGCAGTTCGAGGCTATGTCCACGCTCTCTATGTAAGAGAATGTTGGTGACAGTTCGAATGTTGGTGACAGTTCGAGGCTATGTCCACGCTCTCTATGTGACAGAATGTTGGTGACAGTTCGAGGCTATGTCGACGCTCTCTATGTGACAGAATGTTGGTGACAGTTCGAGGCTATGTCCACGCTCTCTATGTGACAGAATGTTGGTGACAGTTTGAGGCTATGTCCACGCTCTCTATGTGATAGAATGTTGGTGACAGTCAGAGGCTATGTCCACGCTCTCTATGTGATAGAATGTTGGTGACAGTCAGAGGCTATGTCCACGCTCTCTATGTGACAGAATGTTGGTGACAGTTCGAGGCTATGTCCACGCTCTCTATGTGACAGAATGTTGGTGACAGTTCGAGGCTATGTCCATGCTCTCTATGTGACAGAATGTTGGTGACAGTTCGAGGCTATGTCCACGCTCTCTATGTGACAGAATGTTGGTGACAGTTCGAGGCTATGTCCACGCTCTCTATGTGACAGAATGTTGGTGACAGTCAGAGGCTGTGTCCACGCTCTCTATGTGATAGAATGTTGGTGACAGTTCGAGGCTATGTCCACGCTCTCTATGTGATAGAATGTTGGTGACAGTCAGAGGCTATGTCCACGCTCTCTATGTGATAGAATGTTGGTGACAGTCAGAGGCTATGTCCACGCTCTCTATGTGACAGAATGTTGGTGACAGTTCGAGGCTATGTCCACGCTCTCTATGTGATAGAATGTTGGTGACAGTTCGAGGCTATGTCCTCGCTCTCTATGTGATAGAATGTTGGTGACAGTTCGAGGCTATGTCCACGCTCTCTATGTGATAGAATGTTGGTGACAGTTCGAGGCTATGTCCTCGCTCTCTATGTAATAGAATGTTGGTGACAGTTCGAGGCCATGTCCACGCTCTCCGTTCAATCACTGTGAGCGCTCGGCAGTGAAAGTTTTTTTTTTTTTTTTTTTTTTACTTCTGTCACGTGATCAGAAGCGCTCTCACTCGCGGCCAATCAGCAGACAGGACGGGAGCCGGGCGGGTTCAATCCTGCGCTCCCCTTTCTCTATGCGCTTTAAGAGCCGCCGTGAGGGTGACGCGAGGAGCTGTGGCTGTGAAGGTCTGGAGAGAGGAGCTGGGAGCGGGCCGGCCGGGGAAGGGGGAGAGAAACAAGCAGCGGGCCGGACTGGACAGACCCTGCTAGAGAGGATGAGGAAGGTGGTACCGTGACAGCAGGCAGGCCGAGCACAGACAGCAGGAGGCGGCCAGGCAGGGGCTGTAAGGCCGGGCTGGGACACAGGCTGGAGGGAAGGGAGACACTGGGACAAAGGGATCAGCAGGAGAACTGAGCAACCGGGACTGTGAATGGAGAGTACCGGTACCAGGGAGGGGGCAACACGGTAACTCGGAACGGGGAGAGGGGGATTACTCAGAGCAGGGGCTAATTATAGGGGGTATTACTGTGATCAGGGGTATCTAAGGGGGTGGTGCTCTGTTCTAGGGGCATTAGGGAGTTATTCTGTGCAGGGGGCATTAGGGGTATTAGAAGGGGTGTTACTCTGAGTAAGGGGGTATTAGAAGGGGTGTTACTCTGAGTAAGGGGGTATTAGAAGGGGTGTTACTCTAGAAGTAAGGGGGTATTAGAAGGGGTGTTACTCTGAGTAGGGTGTTACCTGAGTAGGGGTATTAGAAGGTGTGTTACCTAGGGGGGTATTAGAAGGGGTGTTACTCTGAGCTGGGGGTATTAGAAGGGGTGTTACTCTGAACTAGGGGGTATTAGAAGGGGTGTTACTCTGAACTAGGGGGTATTAGAAGGGGTGTTACTCTGAACTAGGGGGTATTAGAAGGGGTGTTACTCTGAACTAGGGGGTATTAGAAGGGGTGTTACTCTGAACTAGGGGGTATTAGAAGGGGTGTTACTCTGAACTAGGGGGTATTAGAAGGGGTGTTACTCTGAGTAAGGGGGTATTAGAAGGGGTGTTACTCTGAGTAAGGGGGTATTAGAAGGGGTGTTACTCTGAGTAAGGGGGTATTAGAAGGGGTGTTACTCTGAACTAGGGGGTATTAGAAGGGGTGTTACTCTGAACTAGGGGGTATTAGAGGGTATAAGCAGACAGTGGTGTCTTTCCAGGCCGTGTCCGGGGTATGCCAGGGCCGTGATCCCGCAGAGGTGCTGTTTCTCCGGGCAGTTGGTAGCTCTGTCCCCGGTATCGAGCAGTGCTGTGTGCCCGGGATGGCCGGCCGGAGCCGCCGCTCATGGCTCAGTGTGTTGCTGGGGCTGGTGCTCGGCTTCCTCCTGGCCTCCAGGCTCATCCTGCCACGGGCCGCCGAGATGCAGAGAGCCAGCCGGCGGATCGGTGGTGCTGGGTCCGGCCAGGCGGGGAGCTGTGGCCTGCAGGCCGGCCTAAGGACTGAGTACACGGGGGTGCTAGGCTGGCAGCAGCAGCTACAGTCCGACCAGGGAGCACTGGACTCCACCAATGAGGAAGATGTCCCCCGGGCAAGGAACTTTCTGTTTGTAGGAGTAATGACTGCACAGAAATACCTGCAGACCAGAGCTGTGGCAGCTTATAGGTGAGTACTGAGTACCATACACCGTGGCATAGTCAGCCTGCTTCTATAACTGCCTGAGTAATGTTAGAAGGGTAGTCCACAGCAACCAGAAGCTAAATTCTATTCTGGAATCATTGAGACATGTGCAAGGATCACATTACCACCATTAGTATTGGTTTTATAGTTTGCTTTAGTAACAGTGGTAAGGTTTGCACCAGGGCTTTTTAATGACCGTCGGATAATTAATACTGCCAAGTTGTCCCACAGGCTGAATGTCTATTCTACAACCACTAGGTATGTCCTAAAGTTAGATCAATTATGTTGCGTGTCTGATAGATTTAATGCATTGGTTCATGTAAAGGCATTTTGGCGTGTTGCAGATTAAAGGAACAGTAAAGTCACCAGAACCACTACAGCTTTAATGTATTTATTCTAGTGTCTTAAGCCTGTCTCTACAGGTTTTTTGTTTTTTTTGGGGGTAATGTAAATACTACTTTTTCAGAGAAAACTGCTGCCTAGTAACACCTAGTTACTCAAATGGCCACTGGAGCTGCTTCCTGTGTCAGTGCTGCACGCACTGATGTTTAGCATCTCCATGCTCTGCATAAGGACACTGAAAGTGAAATACATTGATTCATTGCATCTCTTTGAGAAACTGCTGACTAGCACAGTCTGGCATTTTGGCACACGTGCACAATAGCCTCCCAGTGCTTTAAGAGAATGTGTTGGATTGGCTGAAATCATAAAGTTTGATCTCAGCCATGGTGGTGAGACCTGTGAGGGTCGAAAAAAGGTGAGTTTAAACTCCTTTCCCATGCAATGCATGGGGGACCGGGAAACCTAATAGCTGGTTTATAGTGTCAGGAATACATGTTTGTGTTCATGATACTATGGTGTTCCTTTAGTTAAAATCACATTGTATTACTTTACTGTTTGGTGTAAATCAAATTGAATTATACAAACACTTAGTTATCCAAGGGTTATGTAGTAAAAGTGTTGCATTAACTTTTCTGGGGGGGGAGGGGGGCGGTTATGCTTTTTGTATTTCTTACTGTTTTTCTTCCTTCATTTTATTTTCCTGTTCCATTTAAAAAAAAAAAAAAAAAAATATCCACAAACTTATCACTTCCTATGTATAAAAAGAGCGGCAAAGATCACCTTTTCATTATGCCAAGTGTTCCGCTATTTTTAGTGTGTGTGTCTGTCTGTCTTGTCATGCCAGAAATAATTTATGCTTCTTAGATTGCGCATAAAATTCTATCTATACAGATTTGCAAATTCGCTAGCAAATATATAGATTAGGAGGAAAAAAAAACTATTTAAATTATTTTTTTCTCTCTCCCAACTGTTAGTCTATGCCTCGGCATGCCACAGGAGGTCCTTCTGTTCTCCTAAGAATAGTAACCACAGGAAATACGCTGTGGCTGCTATTGAAACACCCCAAGCTGAAGCTCCTAGCCCTGGCTAGGGAGTATATGAACAGAGTAACGCGATACCACTCCGTTCCGACGCCAGCATGCAAACGTCACTTAGGTTTGCACTGCTTGGGCATGGTTATTGGAGTAAACCTTTAAAAGAACACTGTAGTGTTGGGTATACAAATCCGTATTCCTAACACTATAGTGACCCTGTCTCTAGTTGTATTGGTATTGTTTCCACCCCCACCCCCCTGTTTGGCATGAAAATTAATTAGATTACTTTCCATTTTCCAGTGTTGAGGCCCCCTTGCAGAATTAAAAGGATAGGTCCACCTCACCCAGATAACTTTTATTGAGATGAAGTGATCTGGGTGACAATAGTGTCCTGTTAGAGGATCCCTTCAGCCACTTACCTTTATCCAGCGCTGGGCTCCATTGGCGCTGGTGACCTCTCCTCCCCTGCTAACCTCAGCTCCCGAGTGGCGCGCGCTTGCATGGCATTTCTCAATGCTTTCCTATGGACGTTCTGCAAGCTGGATGCGGATTTCTATAGTGTCTCTTTAAGTCAAAGTTTAAAAGCTGGGATTTTTGTCTCATTAATCCTACACTCACGGTGTCCTCACTGTGATTTATGTACATCATGAACCTTGATTTTGGTTTCCATATTCTAAAATCAATGAGGCGGTGTGTGTCCAAGGTTACAATATTGCATTACTAGTGCCAACAGTGTGGGTAGTTGGTGGGTTCTAACATGTATTCAAAAAATGCAGCTCTGATAACTCAGAGCATTTCCGTTATGGCACTTGGTGTTTTTGATCCTAATACAATTGTGATCTACCACTCTCAGGTCTTCTGTAATGCTTGTTCATTTTAGCTGATCATGTAACCTTTGAATATGTTAGAAGAAATTTGAACAAAGTCTATTGGTTAGTTACTCATACATTTATATGGATTGCTTGATTTCAGCAGTAAAGAATTTAGGACCATTAATTCCTTCTATAGCGACTGTGAATGTCAATTATTATAGAAACCTGGTCAGCATAGTGTATTAAACAGCTAAATTGTAATGGCATTGACACACATTTTTATGTTGACTGTTTCTTACCAAATGCTTAATAGCTAATGTATAAGTGATGTCATAGATGTTGAAAATTGAATTTAGCATTGCTTTCTTAGTCTTTTATTGTTTAATCACTATGCCGATCCCACACAGAAATTAGTTTATGTAAATTGTAAAATGTTACACTTTCTGTCTTGTGTATACCTTGCTTTAGATTTGTTGTCGCACAATGAATTCTCATTGACTTCACATCTGTGGTCGCTTGCTTGCTTTAAATGGTTTTAGGAATAGAGCATGTTTAGATGGTTGTTGCCATGTATTGATCTGGAGAATACAGCAGTTTTTCACAGGTCCTTTCTGATGTATCGATTGCTGAATGTAACTTAGTTTTTCCATTGCTGATATTTGTTTCAGGGCCATATCTCAAATTAATCTTTTAATGGCCTGTTCATACAGTGTAGATATTGTAAAGGGATTTAAATGCACATCCAATTATTTTTTTTTTAATAGCAGCCCGCATTGATTCTGACGCTGAGCAAATAAAACATAGTTTATAATTTTTTATTTTTTTTTCTAAATTGAATATTCTGTAGGGTTTATGACCTAATTCATAATGAATCTCTGTCCTTTTAAAGAACAAACGTTACACATTTATACATAGGCAGAGTATGATTAAGAAGCACCTGTAGGCACAAAATGCATTAGGTGGTTAATCCCGTCTTGTAAATCCTGTTCTGGAATAGAGTACTTTAACTTGCCTTCTGGGGGTGGCAAAGATTCTTTGAACTGGTAATTATCTTACTCTTCCTCAACTATTAGGATGCTATGTTTATTTTTAACCCATCATGGATCAATGTGTTGTCAGGACCAGTACTGAATAAGGGGTAGGACATTCCATGTATTTTTACATGTTTGCCATGTAGAGCGTATTGACCAGTTATGAGCATTGGGAAAGCAGTTGTATTTGTGAGGCTTGCTTTTTTTTTTTTTTTTCTCTCATAGACTGGGGTAGACATGAAACCTGTTTAAAAAAAAAAAAAAAATTATGATCCTTTATGGGGTGGTTTTATAAACCCAGTATTAGTGTATTTTATGTTGTACCTGGCAAAGCTGCTGTCTGGCATGTGGTGCTGGATGCATTACTTAAGTATTAGATCGTTTTGGCTCTGTTTAGTGAATTATTTCGGCTCAACTGCTCTGTAAATGATACCCATGTTTGCCCAGGTAAATTTATTTGAGATGGTGACAACAAATGTGTTGTCTGAAATGCAATAGATTATTTTGTTGGATGAGAGTCAGATAAAATTTTCAGCCTGAGGCATTGTTACTTTTGCTAGTAGCAAAATGAAATGAAACCGTGTGTTGCCAACTGTACACAAGCAGGAAATAGGACATAGACTGATTTGTCAGTGTGCTTAGAAGCCTTGCTTACAGGGACACTATATAACTTTGGGAATGCATTACAGTTTGTAGTTCACAGTATTAATGTCTACCTCCCCCTCCCTCTTCTTTGAGAGTAAATTATCTGGTTACCTATAGTCTCTCTTTTTAATGTAAAGCTACAGTAGTGTTCGACTGTAGATTTGTCTGTTTTTAGAAATGACTTGCTGTTTTAGTAGAGAATACGTTTTGTTTAAAACATCCATTTAATAAATTGATCTTGGTTTGTGAGTGGGGTTTTGACAACCAACTGTCCCCCCTCTTCCTCCCACCTTCTCTATCATGTTTATTTTGAAACTAAGCCCTGAAACACTGTCCCTGCTATTGGCAGTGTAAAGAAAATGCATGGCTTGCTTCTGTCTTGTCTGAACATGGAAGGTGTGTGTGTGTGTGTGTGTGTGTGTGTGTGTGTGTGTGTGTATATGCACAGTGTGGCAAGTTTTATTCTTCAGCGACTGGAAATCTGCGCTCTCGTCAGTAGGTTTCCTTGTACTTGAAAAGTGATATACCTGTATCCTGTAAAACTTGCCCAACCCCCTCTAAATTCTACCTCTCACAAGTAGCATTCATTTGGAAAATGAAAACCCAGTTCAATGACTTTACTTATTAGAAAGAATAATTATTTCATAGCGTCTCTCTTCTCTATTTGGTTATCATTCTGCTTATACATTCTGTACTGTTTGAGTGTGTCTGTATACTGCATTTGTTTTGGTTGACACTTTGACAGGTGCTACGACTTCAAATTGTAAGGGGGCTCTAAGCATATTGCATGAAATTGTGTTGCCCCCTCCCTCCTCTATCAGAAAACAGGACCACATAACTCCTGAACTAGTTCTGTGTCTTGGAGCTGGGTTGGCTGTAATGTCAGAGAGCCTTGAGCAAAGATTTCACAAACAGGAATGTGCAAGGTTAAAAATGTAGTGTAAAACCTAATGACACAGGGAGAAAATGCCTGGATTCAGCCTCTGACATGGCAAGCCTAAAGCTACAGCCCTTTATTTCATCCCTCCCTCTTAAAGTTTCAGTAGTAAGTAACCGGAAACTTTGGTAATCTTCAAAGAACTTTAATATTTGTGATAATTGACCAGTTAACTAGGAAATTATACTGAAGGGTAGTATGTACTAATTGTGTATCATTCGCTTAAATCTTTGTAAGCTTTAATAGAACACCAGACATGTTTTACAGATTTTTTTTTTTGATTTTTTTTAAATTAAATTAAATGTTTGCAAACCTGGCCAAATACTTACAAACTCTGCATATATCTAGAGGATGTTGGCAAGCAATGCCTACTTTTATTAAGAATTGTACATAATTATTAAATAATTCACACACAGGGTTTTTCACTTCAAATATTTCTAGTGAATTGAAAGCCAAATTGCAAAATGTAAGGCGAAAAAACTGATTTAGAAAATATATCCAAATCAGCTACAGTCATAAGTTGGTCTGTTTTTAGTTAAAGGGACACTATACACCCCTAAAACATTGTAGCTTGCTGAAATGCTTTGTATGGAGGGTGTCTGTCTTTCTATTTATTTTTCTTTTCTTTTTTTAAATTTATTTTCTTACAAAAAGTACAGGTTTCAATATAAATTCGCACTTTTATAAATTAACCTTGTTACTCACAGACTGTCAACCAGACAACGAGTTCTGTTACTTCCTTGGTGTTTAGTAAAACACAAGAGGCAGCAATTTCACAGAGCAAGATGTCTTTAAATATATCCCCCAATGAAAACAATGCATAATTAAATGCATGCATGGTTTCGTTGTGGGTGTGGAGTGTTCCTTTAAGCTAGTTTGACCTAAATTTGCAATTACCTGGTCAGATACCCACAATTCAAATTTTATCAAATACCTAATGCAAGTAAAGGCTTCAACAATATTGAAAAAATAAAACACACACACACACACACACACACACACACACACACACACACACACACACACACACACACACACACACACACACACACACACACACACACACAGTGTGTGTGTGTGAAGAAATGCCTCGGAGTAATAGAGAGGATAGAAGGCATAAAGCCGTTCCTTTAAAAAAACCAAAAAAAAAACCTCAGAGGTATACCCACAGAAGTAATATTAACTCATAAGGTCTAAGATAAGTGATATAGATAGGAAAAAAGTAAAAAACGATCTTTATTAAGTTAAATATGTTCGAGTCTATGGACTCATTAGCACAAAATCAAAAAAATGTATAAATAAAAAGAAAAAAGTGTGTAAGTGATTTTAAAAAAAGGGGCAGACTCATGTAGCTTATATGAAATATACATGAATTAATTTTAATATTAAAGTAAATGTATAAGCTAAATAATGTAAGTGAAACACTGTTCATGTAGCAGGAATCATAGGCAAACCATAGGATTATAACTATAAAGAAGAAAAGAATCTTAGTGTCTTATATACAGGTAAGTATACAATTTGCTCGGGAGCCGCTAGAGACTGTGGGATATGGATTAGATCTCAAGTAAAGTGCAGCTTATTAGGCAGAGGGAAAATAGTATAATTCCCTCAAGGTATGCAATACCCTTTATATAACACTGTTATCTCGAAGAAGAAACAGAGATTGCTATTGCCACCAGTAAATGTGGGACCCAGATAAAAATCTATATCTGGGATAAATACAAACTTAGGATGTAATAAACCCTCACATCAAAAGTATATAGAGTGCCTCTAGTATGACATAGGTATCCCAAAGTGGAATCAGATTATATAAAAAAATAGATGATAAAATAAAAAATCTTTAAGGATTCTACAGAAAGATAAATTGTTAAGAAGCAATCGAATTATCTTCCATAATCTCTATTTGAATCAAGAGTGTCTAAATATACCAATATGATAGTGGGAAAAAAGCGGTATATCTAAAGCCTAATATCCGAAGCCCCAGGTAAAGCTGTTCAAAATAGTAAAGTACAACCTATGCTACCTATCTAAAGAGATTCACAGATTCTAACTAAAAAGCCACATGAACGGTTGCATAAAGAGAGCTGCCCCATTTGAAAAGAAGCGTCAGAACATGACGCGCGTTTCGGCGCTCTCAGGCGCCTTTTTCGAGAGTGAACACTGCAAGGTAACCAGCCCACATTTTAACCCCTTAAGGACCAAACTTCTGGAATAAAAGGGAATCATGATATGTCACACATGTCATGTGTCATTAAGGGGTTAAAGGGAGGGAGGACACCCCTCCGGTAAATACATCATGGAAAGATGACGTCATCTGGGCTAAAGAGAAGTACTGCTAAGATTTCTCTTTTAGGCTTCTTATAGCTACCTAAGGAAACTTCTGCTGATGGCTTTAAATAGTGCTCCCTGGTGCCCCCAATTTCTTGGCATCATCATTGCGTAACTACAAATCTGTCTAGCTTGTGCCAAACTTATTTTCTGTCTGTATTTTCTTACCTTAAGATTATTAAACATTTAGTTGTTGCCTTAGCCTACATAATGTATGGGTCAGTTGTTTCCTCTTGCATTTCTACAAAGCTACAATACTTCAGCACTCTCATATCGTGAGAATTGTTTATTGTATGGAAGGCTAGTTCATTGCTATCAAATTGTGGTTGTTCTATATATTCTGTATAATTGTTACATGGTAATTTTTTTTGTTTAATTTTATAGAGCTTATTTGTGTAATGATCAAAAGACTTATTATTTATCAAATCAATTTTTAATTGTATTTTTTTTTTTCTTTAGAACCTGGTCAACTTCCATTCCTGGGAAAGTTGAATTCTTCTCCAGTGAGGGCTCAGACACCTCCATACCAATTCCAGTTGTACCACTTCAGGGAGTGGATGACTCCTATCCACCACAAAAGAAATCTTTCATGATGCTCAAGTATATGCACGATCATTACTTGGACCAGTATGAGTGGTTCATGAGAGCAGATGATGATGTTTACATCAAAGGGGATCGGCTGGAGAGCTTTCTACGAAGCCTGAACAGCAGTGAACCACTGTTCCTCGGGCAGACGGGCCTTGGCTCAACAGATGAGATGGGAAAACTGGCATTGGAACCAGGGGAGAATTTCTGCATGGGTGGTCCAGGTGTAATAATGAGCAGAGAAGTCCTGCGGAGAATGGTCCCCCACATTGGAGAGTGCCTGAGGGAGATGTTCACTACCCATGAAGATGTAGAAATTGGAAGATGTGTGAGGCGGTTTGCAGGAGTTCAGTGTGTCTGGTCTTATGAGGTAAGGCTCGGTTCCATGTTGGTATTCCGCTAATGCTGATGAAAATGTTATGCCTTTCATCACCCCTTGCCCTTTTCCCCATCTGTAATATAGATTAAATTATACTATAATAATGAAGAAAAGTTGTGGTTTGCACTTGATGTAGCAAGGTACTTATCTAAATGAATCATTTTTAAAGCAAGAGATATGGATTGTGGTCTAAAATAAACCCCTTAACAGAATGTTTAAACCAAAAACTTGACAATGTTGCTTTTTATTAGGGTCACCTTGGAAACCAGGGATGCTATTATCAAAGAAGGCTGATGGTGGTTTTTATTTTTTACCCTTGGCACTTTTCATATACCTCCACAGGATTATAACATATCTACACCAGAATACTTGCCTTATTCTGCTTAAAAGTTTTCATAGATGTGTACATTATTGCAGATTACTGATGTGTATCAGCAGCCAAAATACAGGAAGTTACATTTTCAAATAGATATGATATGGTGAAGTTATTCAGATAACATTGCTTACAAAAGTTATGTATAAATTAGAAAATGAATTCAAATCCTTGTGTGAATGAATAACGGTAGAACATTAGCCATGTACTTTCTACTATAAACTAGATATGCTAGTTATGTTCACTCTACCTGATCAATACAGCAACTTAAATGTGTCTTTAAAGGGCACTCTAGTCTAGACCAAGGGTAGGCAACTTTTGTCACTCCAGATGTTGTAGACCGCCTCTTCCCTGATGCTTTGCCAATATTATGGCTGTAAGAGTATTCTGGGAGATGTAGTCCACTACTACTGGAGTACCAAGGCTGCCTACCCTTGCTCTAGACACCTCATTAAAGTGGACTCCTGGCACCACAACTACTTTGAGATAAAGAGGTTATGGTGCCAATTGTCATTTAATACTATGACCAGCCTCATCTGTGGAAAAACGTATTATTTATTACAAATTCCAAAAGTCCCATGATTTATTGAGCACCACCTATAACGATGCAGAGCCTGATATTATTGCGGAAATACATTCTTATTCAGATCATCTATGGAGCATGTGTGCACACACTAATTGTACATGCTGCAGGGGTAAATGTTTTATACTTTCTTCTGGCGCACATTACAAGCCAGCACGCAGGCACTGATGAATGTACCTTCTTTGAGGGAACTGTTCATCCAAATTCTCTTCTGAGTAATTAGCACGTAAAACTGTTTTGTTTTGGCTGTGGGCACATTTGTTTAGCATGACAAATCTACTAAAACACTACTTCCTGATAGATATGCAACAGCTGGATACATTGTTTCATGGTGGTCTTATTTCAAAGAGATGAGTAGGACCTGAAGAATGATTGCAATGGAAAAGAGCTAGTGCTCCTTGTATACTCTGTTTATGAAGCATATTGTAGGCTGTTTTATGTGACGTAGACTCCGCAAGCTTGTAATCTAGTGGATGAGGGGAATCCACGAAGGAAATGTTGACTTAAGCAAGTGTTTACATGTGGTGTAAGAGGAAGTATTTTCAGAGTAGTGCTGTGCTGTTATGTTAAGACGTCAAAATCAGTTTTCGCACAAGTAGCCATCAGCCTTGTGTCAAGAACCTCACCCTATGTGGTTTGTCATGTTGAACTATTTAAATATACTTTAGGAATTAATTTTTCCTCTTGTTTTGGATCAGGTGTGTTCATTATAGAATGTCATACTTAAAACATTTGGGTAACAAGGTTTGCCCTTGGTAAGTATGTATATCTATGCATTGTGCTTGCAAATGCTCCAGTAAATGTATAAATTAAGGAAAGCTTACCTAAAATTGGCACATGTTTCCGAGATGGCTGGAGAAATTTGATTGGTGCAGATGTGACTGTTCCTAAATAAAGCACTGTACAAATGACTAGATTAGCACTGTAAGTAATTGCACTCTGACCAACTTTTTAAACCCTTGATTACAGTTTGTCTTGTGTAATATATAGATAAACTATTTAGGCCGTTCAAATGGAAACCTTGCGTATTTTGCCTGGTAGTCACTTATACCTATGCGTGGACTGCAATGACTAATCTGTATTGCCTTAATGGAAACATCTTAATGTGTGACTAAACTGGATCTGTCACACTGCAGATTGTTTGTTTGTTTGTTTGTTTGTTTGTTAAATTGACCTAAAAGTATGTGACTACTCATTCATTTAGTGGCAACAAGTTCCACTGCATTTAAAAAACAAATAATTCAATGGTAAATCTACCATGCTTTTATGAGTCTCTCAAATTGTAGATTGGTGGATATTGTTATCCTTGCCTGGTGGTTTATTTTTTTTATTTTTATTTTTTTGTCGGTGTCTTCCTCAGAATAGATCATAGTTTCAAACCTAGGAAATCACATTTGCAGTAATGTTTTGGGGCAAAGCATGCCCTTATATAGAATTATGCACTATTAGTTTTATGCCAACCACTGTATTTTGTTCTGTCCTGAACACAGTGGGCAGTGTTTAACAAAACAAAGCAAAGTGGTGGTCATTTATGACTGTTTTTATATAGGAGAAAAAATACCCGCCCTTTCCCCAGTGTCTGTGTTCTTTTATGTCCACGTGTATATTATGGTGCCAAATCTTGTACTGAATGATGTGTGACATTGTAATGGGGAAAAAAATATATATTTTTTTTCAATGTGACTTCTTGATTCACTACTGGTAGGAGCTGTGTTCCTGGACAGTAGCTGCTATTTACATCTGACACTATTATTTCCTTGTGCTGCCCTGATATCTCATGGTTTACTCCTAGCACCATTACCACTTCAGTGATTTGAAGCCTGCAGTCTGTGTAGCGTTTCGTTGTGATGTGCTGAACATACTAAGTTTAACCCCCTTGCTACTGGAGGTGTAACTACCCCCGCTGGCGGCAGCTTGAAGTAACCGTTCTAATTCTAAAATTGTGTGTGTGTGTTTTTATTTTTTTTTGTGGATTACTAAATTTTCCTCTGTAGTTGAACCTGAGAAGCTCAACATGAATATTGACTTCTGGACCAAATTACAGGAGGCTGACGTTGGGGGCTCACCTATCTCCACTTAAAGTCAGATATCTAGTGACAGAATGTTTCTAGTTCAGTCTGAGCCAAATGAATAAGATATGAAGATGGATCATCCTTCCACAGAGAGTGAGCAAATCCTCTCATGAGGATAAAGAGACTTACTTTTGTAGACACCTAATTGGAAAGCTGTGCCCTAGTTGTGAACCAAAGGGAATGTCCGGTATCCTCATTCTATTATAAATATTATTTCTTCTACATATCATTTTAAGCAATTCTGCTCAATCTCAATTTCCTTCCTGTTATAGTTTTAAAAAAAGATTTTTAAGATGTTACTGCAAAAATATAACGGCATAAAAAGGGTAAATTGTATGTTCAAGAAGATGTTTTGTTTAGCACAGGCTGCAGGCACTGATTTTTTTCAGCCATGAAATTTCACTATACTGTACTTACAATTCAATCACCCAATGATTGTATGCCTCTCCTTTGCAAATAGTTATTGCATCAGTGTCAATATTCAAAAAGCTTTATTGACTTGTTTTATGCCTGCTTTAATCATTTGTTTTACTTTCTTAAATGGCCCTGCAGCTTGGCTCTCTTTCTAAATGTATGGAGGATGGCAAAGCCATAGAAGAATAACCTGTAGAGATCTGCATGTAAAGTCTTTATCTTTCCTTACCATCTTCTTTCTACAATCTAGTGTCACATGGCAGAGGTTGCCACTGTTATATACTAACACATGCATGAAATTTTATTGTGTGTGTGTATATATATCTATCTATCTATATCTCTTTTTTTTTTTTTTTAAATTCTTTATTTTTGCAGTGCATTGTTTAGTAAACAAGCTCACAGTGACATTTTTAAACAAAGATATACATTGATATACAATGAGGTTGAGAGCAAGATTGTCGTAAAATGTCAACAGTTCAGCACTTTTTGTTTTTTAATAACATGGGAAAACAATGATGAAAACTGTACAGTGCCTATGAATGATGATAGAACGAGGTTGGTTATAGCGAGTGCATGTCTTAGGCACTTATATTGAATGCAACTATTAATAACAAGCTTAGTCAAAGATAGGCTAATAGACAACAATACTGTGTAGTGTAACATGCTAAACTAAATATGCGCCTAGCCAAACTAGTTGCGCTTAAGGTTATAGGTGTAAAGCTGTGCATTAGTGAGGCTAGGAGCTTTTATGCTTAATGAACCAGTTGCACGTATTTAAGTGTAGGGATAAACCAACAGTTTCACCGCCAGTTTGATTCCAGCTTGGAGTACCACATTAAATAGGACCAGCTAGGGAAGTTATACAGATGCGGGTGCGGGAGACACACACAAGATGTCATTGCCCAAAAAAGAAAACTTTGCAAGGGGTGAAAACAACGGCATATCATGCGTTGTCACGTTACTTTTAGCCAGGGTGTAGAGGGCAGTTCTTGCGATATCAGGCATGGTGTAAAAGTCCAGCTAGTGCGAGAAATGCCTAAAAAACGTTAGGTTAGACAGCTGCAGTATGTGTGCGTATGTACAACCCCGTTAGGTTGGAAAACAACGGCATATCATATGTTGTCACGTTACGTTTAGCCAGGGTGTAGAGGGCAGTTCTTGCGATCTGAGGGATGGTGAAAAAGTCCAGCTAGTGCGAGAAATGCCTAAAAAACGTTAGGTTAGACAGCTGCAGTATACGTGTGTGTGTGTACAACCCCTTTAGGTTGGTCTGAGTGGGTCATGTGTGGAAGTCCCCGCAGTGGCAACTGTTGTCCGTGGTTAGTCCCGTAATGGCAGTACAGCTTTAGGCAGCGAGCCTGAGTTCAGCCTATCCCCAAGGCTGGGAAGTGTAAGTCCCGAGTGATGAGGGCGAAGGTGGCTGTAGCACTTGGATGGTTCTGTTGGGCGTCCTTCCAGCCCCAGGCCGGTTGATAGGCCAGCACCTTCGTGCCCCGGACTTGGGGGCTCCTGAGGTCCCAGTCCTCCGCTCTGGGGGGTAGGCAGGAGGTTGTGGAGGCTGGTGGCCTCACGTGGCGGGTGGATCTCCGCCTGTGCGGACGGTGCCGTGGGGTTCTGCCCCTGGTGGCCCTCGGCCTAGGTGATCTCTTAGTGTGAGGAGGTACATGTGTTTTGGAGACATGAATGATCGAAGGGGGCTCACTCACCATCCGGTTCTCAGCCCCCCTGTCGGCCTCCTGATGTTGGAGCTTTACTGCTTCTTGTCGTGCCTCCAGCATGGCCCAGAAGCGGGTGAAGAGTTCATCCAGCCTCCTTTGGGTGATCTGTGCCGAGTTTAGAGGCTCCGGCTCGTAGTGCTGGGAGTTTGCTCCTTGCATGGTAAGCTGGGCCGCCATTTTGTGTGATTCTGCAGTTGATGTATCTTAGTCAGGTAGGGTGATTAAAGTCGCTTGGCGCCAGGTTCAGGCTAGGAAGGACCGGGATATCCCCCGCCGGTCCAGAGGGGGGGGGGGAGCAGTGCTGTTTTGCAGGCTTGGGAGGACACTAGGTCGCACAGAGCGGGGGATCGGCCGCCTCACCCGTCCGGCGATACTGCTAGGCCACACTCCCGACACCTCGATAGAAGCTCTGTGTACCCGCGGGAGGGAGACCCGGGGCACTTTGGCTGGCTCCTGAGGTAGGTATGCCTTTGTTTAGGCGTTTGTGTGGGTCCTGGCTGGCTGGCGTGCAGTTAGTCAGGCTGTGCAGGTAGATTGAGCTCGGAGCTCACACGAGGCACGTCCAGCCGCCATGAAGTCCAGGCCCCGCCCCCATCTATCTATATCTCTTGTTTTTTCATTCCCAATTTTATTGTTCCTCCTTTTAGGAGCATGAAATGGTGAGGTTTCCCTTCTCTGTGCCGGTGTTTTTATTTATTTTTATTTCTATTTATTTATTATTTGAACAGGGGGGTACTTCTTGTCAGTGAGTGGCACCAAATACTCACCGGAGACCATCTGTCAAACCAGAGTTTTACCTCCCCCCAGCACCTCCTCCTTATGTGAAATCTTGCTTGTAGATTAGTTTAGTCTCAACACTCCCCTTCTCAGGTTTTAAAGAGAACCATATACTTATTCTTCATGTCTTGACAATAACTTGTGAATGTCATTGTGACGTCCAACAAATGTTTATTTTACTTCACTCATTGTTTTGCAGTACAACCAAACAAGCATGTTATTGTTCTTTGGGGTAGGTTATAATGCTCATTGCTCTGTGTAACACGAGTATGATCTGTTACATTACTGGATAAAAGTGTTGGGCCCTTCTGATATCAGTCAAACAATAAGAATTCAGGGTTTGTTGTGGACAGACAAATAACTGTCTAAAGCCCATCAGTATAGAAAATAAGTTTGTTGTGCTTTTGGTGCTGTTATTTAGACTTTTTAACCATTTTGAAGTAGTATGACAAACTGCGCTGTACTGGCTCACTTAGCTTGCTCCATTTTCAACCACCCTGCGTACATGGTTATATGGTAATTTCCAGGTTAATCATTGAAAGCTATCAAACCTTGGACAGCAATGATAGGCTGTATGTAATTGCTGGAGGCAGGTTAGCCAAAATTAAAAACACGGTTGATCCTATGTGTACATATAGCATTGCCTTCTCTATTTTGTTGGCAAAGTGAATCTGCTAGATGGTCCCTCCCTCCCCCCATTTCAAATACTTTCTAACCAGCTGCTTTTAATCCAAAGTCTGGACCTTTTGACCTGTTGTTGTCCATTAGTGAGCTTCTACATCACAAAATGTAAATTAACTGAAAAATTTTCCGTAGCATTAAACACACAGACTATTTGCTGAGCATCAAAGGAGATAAGGAGCAAACCCGATTAAACGTCACTTTGCATTGGGTCAGCAAAGTCTAATCCTCATTAATAACGAAAAAAAATGCACAATGGTTTTCTTCTTAATTAAGATTTTGAGTTGAGTATGTGGATTGCTTCCAGGGGTGCAAACCTCTAACTCTCGCATGGCAAGACTTTGGTGAAGTACCTTTGATGTGAGCATGAATGAGGAAAAAAAAAATTACCAACAATTGCTGCCCAATGGCATTTTATTGCTTTTACATTTTAGGCCAAATTAGCAGAACCAGAAAACTTTTCCAGCTATATTATTTAAAAATATATATATATATATATATATATATATTTTTTTTTTTCTTTTTGTTTTAAACCCTAGACATTTTTGAGAACTTGCAGCACTCTCCATGACGACACATATATGCTATTGAATGTGTATTGTACTAAGGTTGCAAATAAAGTTCGGCAAACCAATGTGTGATTGCTTTGAACAGCATTGTATTCTTCTACATCAATCAATAGAATGACCACCTCTAAAGATTACATGTGTTGGTCTAATCATCATGTATAGAAAGTTTCCTGTCCACAAGAATCTGTATAGTAAAGCTTCTTGTAAATAATCAAAACCAACAATAAAAAACACTGCTATAGAGACACGGAAACCCTTTAATACAAACCCATTGAATTGGAAATGGTTGTCTGTCTCCTGGGCACTTGGATTGTGCTGCTTTTCATCTAGTACCTAGCAAGATTTTTATTTATGTATTTATTTTCCTATATGTGACCCTAGCCATCCCACACTTTGTTGCTGTTGGCTCCACGTGACCTTGAAGGTTACTGTTTTTCTAAACTAATTAGGGGAGATTTAGCTTCTGTTGGACATTATCCCGGAAAGCGGCTTGTCTGTGCTCACTTCCTGTAAACCAAGGCTTATCAAGACCTACTAGTTGGGCAAATAACTGTTCATCTTCATGAGACTGGAATACTTCTTTCCAGAAACTGACAGACAGGGAATGGAGATTATCGCTCTCTTGGGGACAACACTTAAGTGTGTGTGTGTGTGTGTGTGTGTTTCGTTTTTTTTTTTTTGTTTTTTTACATTTACTTTCAAATAAGAAAGTGAACAAGTGTCTGCTGAGCAAGAAGTGGTCTCGGAGGAAAATCCCCAAAGAGTTTTTAAAAATCCTTATTTTTACAGCTAGCAAAATTAAATTGAACAACTACAAACCACTCTGTACGATCTTTTTATTTTTCCTTTCTTTTCCAAGATGTGTACACTTCTTCTTTGTAACTTCAGAATTTATTATTTAAAAAAAAAATTGTGGTCTTTTTATGTTAATTTATGCAAAGGAATAATATTTGATCATGTTTAATGCTTTATTCTAAAGAAATATCTAAACATCTACCAGTATATTTGTTAGAATTTAAAGGCCCATCTGTGAATTTTTGTATTGCTGTGGAACTATAATCCACTAAAACACCGCAAGCTGTCAGAGCTCCTGGAAAAGAGAGCCGGGTAGAGAGGGAGAAGTAAAGGGACATTTGGATGGCCTGTAATAGACTGTGTGACATTCTGCCCTCTATTGAGCTTACTGTAGCTGGTAAATTGTGACGCCAAGATTTAGAGGTTTTTAGTTGAATGTTATAGCAATATGGAATCTGCTTTTCAGTACAGAAGCATACGGGAGACAGAGAGCAATTTCCTACTATTGTCAGAATATTCTTGCAACCTGTTTTTTAATTTCCTACTCCATTTTCATGCTAGCACTCTCTGCCAGCCCCAGAGAAACTGATGTGTGTCTTTTGTGCTGTACCTTTTTTGTCCTGATTTGACTTGCAATCAAGCCTGGGCAGGAAAACGCACAGAACATTATATACATCAAATTAAGGAAAAGCCCTTCATGGCAGTGCATTCTGCTGCTCTCCGCATTCAGACGCAAGATCGCATTTCTGAAAACGTCTTTTGTGTTCGCCTAGCTGTTTGGGAAGGATGTGTACTGATATATTGTTTGTTTATTTTTGGTACTCTTAAGAAAATATTTAGATTTTGCTGACTTGAAGGAGTCATTGAAACAAGGAGCACAAGCAAGTGAAGTTTCATGTGACAGTGTCCAGGGGATTTGATGGGGTGGGAAGCAAAAGACAAATTCCAAGCTTACGAAGAAAGCATGTTTACATTACTGGCCTGCAGAGGGTATATCTATTACAGACTGTGCCTTGTTACAATTCTGGATGGGCACAAGGCTGGTCTGTAACAGCTCTGCACCTAGGCTCCAGTACACCGAGCTATAATTAGATTTGGCCTCTCTCCTCTGCATACAAACAAGAATATGGAGGAGCATGCACAAGAATGAAGGGTACACCGTGGAAGGAGGATAGGGAGGGAAACTGAAAAGACTGTGTATGTACACTTTAAAGGAACACTATGTTAACAATATGATTATACACCAGCCTGCTTTTAAGTAGGTCCATAATAATTGTGGGAATTTTATATTGTTACATGTATTTGTCATTAACAAATCTATTCAAATATTAAATGGACTCTATAACCATTTCATCTCGTGGAGTTGCTTATAGTGCCTGGAGTCCCCCATGGCACTGTCCCTCCGTTCAGTGATTTTTCAAGCTTGCACTGAATGAGGTTCCCCTGGAGGTATGGCTAAGGCAGAGATTCCACGCTTGCTTGTAGGCATACTGATTTATACTTGCAATGGCACAGTGATAGGCTGAAAGATTTAAAATCACAGCCACCCATTGCTGATCAGGCTAATGCTTTCTCATTATTCCAAGCAGCACACGGAGGTTTGGTTGCTGGGGGACTCCTGTTTAGCATTAAAAACTGTTTTATAGTATTTGGAGCAAAATACATTATAATGAAGCATTTATCCCCCTGGCTGCTATACCCCTAAATTTAATCCTTAGTTAATTTAAACTGGTAAGAATTATAGAACTAATCTCTGCTAATTCCCTTGACTGCTTCTCTGCAGCCAACCCTGCACTAATACACAGTTGCAGTAATGTACCAGTTTTTAAAGCTGCTGTCATATCAGTAAAAGTTATTTTGCTGACTTTTACCTCATTCAAGGACTGAACACCCTAGACAACTTTAGTCTGATCTCAGCTGTCAATAAACTGTACAAATATGACACTGCTGATGTTTAAATGGCATTGGCAAAATTCTCAGGCAACTTTATCCTTGCCAAACTTGCCTTGCTGCATTGACCTGGCTAGTAGCAAAGTACTTAAAACACAAAGATAGATGTGTGCGTGTAATATATAATTTTTTGTGTATATAATTTTTTTATTTTTTTTTTCACTTTAGCTGTTTTGGGTTATTGACACAGTGTTTGCCTTCATTGCTAGCAGGAAGTAGATAACTTGATATATGAAATAAGTGTTAGATGTGATCTATGCTTTGTACATATCTTTTATTATATGACCACACTATGTTATAGTCAAGACTGTATGAGAGTAAGCATTGTATAATGCCTATCTTTGTGAAATCAACATATCTACTAAAAGGAAAAAAAACCTATTGGTACATGTTGATCTGTTCCTTAAAACGCTGCTGGTTTCAGTATTTGTGATGACTTCTTTGCAAGTTTTAGAAAAGGCAGTTGCCACTTCATTCGTTGTGATGGAAACTTCCGTGGAACACGCACACACTCACATGTACACGTTTTGATAAAGGAAACTAATAGCTATGATGCATTTTAACCGAAAGTAAACCTATTTTGTCAGTTGTAAATCGCTTTCAGAATCTACATATGAAATAAACATGGTTGTTCACCTCTGAACTAGTCATGTACTGGCACAAGACAAAAACAAAATTTATATAATTTAAATACAGGTCAAGCAATGCCATCCATGACATTTTTATTTTAAGTCCGGCACAACGTCATGGGGTTTATCCATGAAGAAATTTTATTTAAAGGGACACTATATAATCAGCAGAGAAACTATAGGCTTTTAAATGTAAACGCTGCCCTTTTATAGAAAAGGCGGTGTTTACATTACTGCCTAGTAAAACTCCTTTCGTGGCAGTCCCCCAGACAGCCACTACAGGTGCTTCCTGAGTCAGTGTTGCACACTTTGCATGGAGAAGCTGAACATGCCCCATACAGATGCATCTCTGTGAGGTGATGCTGATTGGTGCAGTGTGGGGTTTTGACACACATGCCCAATAGCCTCCCATATGAAAGCCTTGCTTTCATATGAGAAAATATTGGCTTGGTTGAGAGTCAAATTTGATGATATTCACCAAGGAGGCTGGCATGGCACTGGAATAAAGGTAGGGCAGCTTATATTTTAAAGGCAGACAAGGAGGGCTGATGCCTGAAAGTTTTATTACAGCTATAGTGTGAGGGATACACATTTGTATTCCTGACACTATATAGTGTTCCTTTAAAATGTATGGAAGGGGTGGGGTGGTCAACTTGTTTCATCTGAGCATTTTTATACTACTGTTTGGCCTTCCAGCAATGTTTTGCTCTCCTCCTTCCTTTTTTTATTTTTTTATTTTTATTTTTTTACTTTTTCATCTAAATGAGCACTCCTGTTTAACTTGTGAAATATACTACATGAAATTCCAATTGTTTGTTACTCTTAACAGTGTTATTTAAGTAAGATCGTTGTTCTGTACATTGGTGAAAGCATCATAGGTGGTCTCCAACGGCTGGCAGGCTTCTAGCCACTGCTTCTCAAGACTGTCTAGTGGTTATGGTGTTTGGAGGTTTCCTTTAAAGCCATGCCAGCATAGAGCGCTTTTAAAAAGGCAGAATGACAAGTAGTCTCTGCCCCAGTTGAAAGCTAAGAAACCTGAAACAAAATGGCTTGATCAACCAGGAAAAGCACTTGAAATTTTTGAATTCTCATGTGTAATAAGAACTATATTAAAGCGACACTATAGCCACCAGAAGAACTACAGTTTATTGAATTTGTTCTGGTGAGTAGAATCATTACCTTCAGGCATTAAACACGGTCTTTTCAGAGAAAATGCAGTGTTTACCCTACAGCCTAGTGATAACTAAACTGGCCACTCCTTAGATTGCTGTTAGAGATCCTTCCTGGGTCATGGCTGCCTAAAATGCATCCAAACTTTCAGTGTCTCTTCCCTCTGCAGACACTGAACTTTCCTCATAGACATTCATTGATTCAATTCATCTCTACGAGGAGTTGCTGATTAGCCAGGGCTATGTTTTGAATCATGCTGGCTCTGCCCCTGATCTGCCTCTTTTTCAGTCTCCGCCAATCTTATGGGGAAGCATTGTGATTGGATCAGGCTACTTCTGATAATGGCAGTGGGCAGGTCTAAAGGAAATGGGCACAAAATAAGCAACTGCAGACTTAAATACAATTAAGATTTTACTATATTTAGGGAGGCATGAAGGGACCATGGTGGTTTTAACCCTATAGGGTCAGGAATACATGTGTTCCTGACCCTATAGTGCTCCTTTAAAGGATCACTATAGGGTCAGGAACACAAACCTGTATTCATGACCCTATAGTGTTAACACCACCATCTAGCCCCCCTGGGCCCCTCATACCTCCATAAATATAGCAAAATATTACTGTATTCAAGCCTGAAGCTGTAACTCTGCATGCTGTTAGACTCAGAAAAACAAGCTGACTGCTGACATCATAAAAAGGGGTGGCCTGATCCAATCACAGTGCTTCCCCATAGCATTGGCTGAGACTGACAAAGAGGCAGATCAGGGGCAGAGCCAGCACAATTCAAACAAAGCCCTGGCCAATCAGCATCTCCTCAGAGATTAATTGAATCAATGAATCTCTATGAGGAAAGGTCAGTGTCTACATGCAGAGGGAGCAGATACTGAATGTTTGGATGCATTTTAGGCAGCCATGACCCAGGAAGAATTTCTAACAGCCATCTAACGAGTGGCCAGTGAAGTTATCACTAGGATGTAATATAAACACTGCATTTTCTCTGAAAAGACCGTGTTTACAGCAAAAAGCCTGAAGGTAATGATTCTACTCACCAGAAAAACTCAATAAGCTGTAGTTGTTCTGGTGACTATAGTGTCCCTTTAAAGTTTGCTGATCAGAGCTAACCCCAAACACAGACATATGGAGTGATTCTGAGTATTAGTGCTGCAACAAGTATTCAACATATTCAAGGCTGTTAATAAAATAGCAATGCTGATTAGTTAAATTATAATCTGTAACTATAAAAAGGTAACCATAGTGTACACCCAATGTATAGAATCTTCACACTGTTATAATGCTATGTGCCCAACAAATGGTATCTTCACACTGTTATATTAACACTAACACTGTTCCTAGCCTATCACAACATATATATAAAAATGTGCAACTCCTTTTTAATGCCACTGTGAAAAAACAAGGATTTATTCACGTGTGCTGTTGTGGCACTTGACAAATGTTTGTAACTACCCAAACACAGGAAAAATAAAGAATTTAAAAAAGGTAACCATAGTGTTTAAACTCATTTTTTTTTTTTTTTTGGTTTGTTTGTTTGTGTTTTTTTACTCAAATGTACAGAGGTGAAGCTACCAAGATTTACAAGTAGTATGTGGACTCTGAAACATAACCTAAGGTGTGTGCCCACCCCTCCCAGCAGGATGCCGGTTATACAAAACCCTAAGGACCTGAGCTGCTTTAGCCCAAGGGCCACAACTTGTCACAGTGACACAATGATTGAATGCTTGTTTCCTCGGTAATTTTTTATTTATTTTTTGTTCCTCTTGCTTTACAGTGGAAACTGCCTAGATAAGTAACCCTTTATCTATAGTTCTTGTGTTTATTACAGAATGACTTGACCTTTTTACCCTTTTGAGGTCTCCTTAACCTAAGCAGCTGGTCCACATATTTTAGTGGACTTTAATAGCAAGCTTCATGCCAGCGGGACTTCAGTTTAAGCCAGGAAGATGTTTCATCTGGATGTATGCAGATAGAACTGTCTTCAATTTTATGTTCCCTTTCTTGTGCCATGACTAATCTTCTGAAGGGGACACAGCCTGTGTGGAGAAGCCGACTGACCTCCTGAGCCAGTGTCAAATTTGGCTTATTTCTCATAATAGCAAGCCCTGTTAGAAAAGACACATTATTTATAAAGGGTCATTTGGAAATCTTGTTTTCAAGATTTAAATGCATCAATCTCTTCATTATTTTCATTTAGATTTATACTCCTGCATCCCCCTTTTTATTCTTAGTCTTGTCAACACGCCAAGGGTGTTTTATCCCTGGGTGTTATTTTTAGCTAATTGGCGATACCTGCTATTAATATCTCTGCGGTCCAGGAGCTGAATCGTTTCTCTCTCCCATTAAATGCCCCTTGGACCATAGGGATTCTTGTGGCAGTTGGTAATGTGAGGTGGGAAAGAATTCTAAAAATCAAATAAGGTCAAGATCAAATGGGAGGTTAGGATTTGCTACAAAACAGCTATACATACTTACTGAGATATTATACACTTTCATATGCTTAGTATCTTCTTGACAAACTATCTTTAACGTGTTGCTTAAAAAAACATGACCAAGGATTCCATTGTATTACAAAGTTGTAAAGAGTATAATATAACGTTAACCATAGTGACATTTGTGGCAAGTTTCCTCTTTGTCAAGATGCTGTATAATACAATAAATTTAGACTTATTTATTATATTATTGCAAATCAGTTGAGTAAACCATTTCTGGAATTCAGTAAAGAGTTTAGTCTTTTTTTTTTGTGTGTGTGTGTGTGTGTGTGTGTGTGTGTGTGTGTATGTATGTATGTATGTATATATATATATATATATATATATATATAATATATATTTATTTTTTTTGTATTATGGCTTGACTGGTGTGCAGATTATTTTGTTTAACATTGTATTAAATATATAATTATGCACACACTCTGTGTAAAAGGAAACAAAACAATATTTGTAAGCACAATCACAATATAGCATCTAGCTCAGTTGATCAGTGTGAATTAGTTTAAATGACTGTATCTCCATCTTTTGTCAAGTCCTACAGAGTCTTATCCGACTTAATCTCCACTGGAAGAGTGTTAAATTTTATACAGAGTGACCAGTATATTAGAATGGTTCATAGGCGAATGCTTAATTAGAACCCTGCTCACACTCCACAACATACCTATATTAATAGTGTGCTGCTGAAATGACCACCAGTAACATATAATGAATACTACATACATCTATTCCCAACCTGCTTTCTGTTTCCTTTTGTTTACTATGCATTCAACACCTGATATTTAAATATAAAAAAAGTATATAACTAAATATAAATGAACAAACCACAAGGTTAAACGGCGATGACTGGAAGCATGATGCTGGAATGTCTACGTTTGATTTACCATTAGCTGACTCAAGTCTCACACACAAGTGAAGTACAAGATGAGCTATGAGGAAAAAAAATGAATAATTCCTCTGTCCCAAAGGCAACCATTTTCCTACCCCCCCCCCCCTTTTTTTTTTTTTTTTTTTACACTCCTTCAGTATTTGAAGCCAAAGTAATTGTACGATTAACTATGAACTTTTACCCCTGCAAGTTGTCACGTCTACCTTGATGAAGCCTATAATCGACGCGTTATCTTGTTGATTTTCAATCCTGGACTATGATATGCATTTCAGCCAATCTGAATACACACGTCACTTTATTGCTCCATTGATTCTATATCTGCAACCTCTTTAAAATTCAGTGCTTATTGAAGCATTTGCATGTATATTGAATTTGTGTTTTTAATAATAACGTTCTTTTATATTATGACGTTACTGACCTAATTAATTTGTTAGAATGCAGAAATGTGTGCACCCATAGGGTCCTGTATTAAATATTAAAACGAAAGTGAGAACCCTACGTGAAACATTTATTGTGTTTCTTAATTTTAAACCATGCCTTGGAGTTAAAGCCTTTCTCTGATGTTAAAATTCTATTTGGCAAATTGAGCTCAGTCTGAGCCATCTGCCTTAATTCTAGGCTTCTATGTAGACTGTGAGTAAAACTAATGTTACTCTATAATTTCCCTAGGTGCCAAATCTGTTTTAAATGCCAGTCTTGAATCCTGTGTGGCACGTCTGTTCTAAGGTTATCTACTTGAGCCAAGTATCCCTTGGTTTGTGTATTGTTACTGAGGCCCAAGAGAAGCGGTTGTGGAACTTTTACTCTACTAACCTTGGTCTGACATGGTAAAGTATTTTAAATGTGGTCACCGACCTGACTCTTTCCTCTTTCATGTCTGACTGAAAAATCAGTCTGTGCCACTGATGATAAATTAAACCTGATTACACTTTTCAAAATTGGTTAGCAGGTACAAAAATCCCTTCCAAATGCTAAGCAAGATACAAAATTACACAAACCTAATTTGGAGAGTGGAAGTCAAAGAACTGCTTTAAAAAAATAAATAAAAATAATACAAAAAATTATTTGTGTGTGTGGGTTACTCGGACAATGCTTAGCTGAAACTGTTAAATAGGTTTTCATTAATAGGCATTCAGTGCCTTCCTCTACTTCAACTGTAAAATGATATCAGTCAGGATATGGTTTGAGAAGGGGGAATTAAAAAAAGAACCTTCCACAAGAGTTTACAAAGCTCACATTGTTCAGACCAATTGCCAGCCCCCTGCCCAACGCTTAGCCTCTCCCCCTCTCTATAGGAATGGATATTGAATTCAAGTTATCTTGTGATAAGTGATAAGTTACAGAAGCCTTTTCTGCACAATGGCTCAGTCAGAAAACTAGGAACATCTTCCGCTCCAATTTATCCAATGTTAAAAGACACATTGTCATCTTCAGTGAAATGTGTAACCATTTATTTTCATAAAGCTTCATATAACTAGAACATCTATCCTATAGTTTGCATAACACAGCTGGCATCTACTTTTTTTTTTTTATTTTTTTTTTTTACAAGTATAATTCAACAAAGCATTTTGCCACTTGGGATAAACATCTGAATATTTCTGGGTCTGTCTAGTCTTCAGACCTAATTATTAATATTTATATAGCGCCAACTAATTCTGCAATGATTTACAATATTATGAAAGGGGGGAAATGTACAATAAATGAGACAATTACACAGGAACAATAGGTAGATGAGGGTCCTGCTCAAACGAGCTTACAGTCTAGAGGAGGTGGGGTATAAATACACAACAGGGCAGCAAAGGTGACAGCCACCAAACAAGGTGGAAAAGTAGCAGAGCTGGAGGAGAGAGCAAGAGACCAATAGGGATAAGTATATAGAACTTCTGAATAGATGTGTTTTCAGGGACTTTTTAAACAATTGAAGACTAGGGGAGAGTCTGATGGGGATAGGCAGGCTATTCCAAAGGAAGGGAGCCGCCCCCGAGACGTCCTGAAAACGTGACATTGATTATGATGGTAAACTAAACCTCCTGTCACCCCCGCCCCCCTATATCAGTTTAACGGAACACTGCAGTGTGAATTTCTTGTAAGTGATTCTAGGGCTTGAGCAACTTACAGCAACCAGGAAACTGCTAGGGCCTCCCAGCCAATTGCTAATCTCCCCACTGGCTACTTTCTGTTGACTTCCCATAGGAAAAGCACTGTCCCTGGAGAATAGAAGTCCATATTCAGATGGAATATTGTGAGAGATGTTGGCTTTATGCAACGCACCTTACTTGTCCTGCTGTATGAGCTTACTGCCAATGAACATGGGTGACCTGGTACTCTGGAATTTAACACTGGTGAAGCAGTCATACTATTTATTTGTTTTTGTTTGTTACAATTGCCAACTTTCCTCTCTAAAATTTAAATAAATAATAATAAACCAAACACCAATTTCGTTTCCTAATCTTGAACTCAGGGCTGCCGTCAGAAATTTTGGGGCCCCTTACATTTGCTCAAGGCATGGTCCCGGGTGCCTCGCCCCTTAGTCCGCCCACAAGAATAAGTAAAGTGTATTCAGTGTGTGTATTTGTGGTGTTGGGTAAATTTATTGCCCCATACCTGTAACGGGGGGGGAGGCACTCTTCATTATAGAGGCAAGCAGGGCCCACAACTGTGTATGTATATTTATCTATAATATAATATTGCTCGGGCCCCATACAGCTTACCCCAGCCCCACGATGGTGGCCTTGGGCTAATTACAAGATCAAATGAAAACTGTCGCCACGAACAGTCTCAGCTCCTCAGGACTGCCTCGCTGATGGTTGTTATGCCCTGATGGCTGGCCTGGTTAAAATATAAACACTCTGTGCTAATCAGGGGAACTGACATTTTCCAGCTCTGTGTCCTGTGAATGATCTATTCCCCACTAATCTGGCGATAACTGGCACTGTGTGTGCTGAAGATACGCTAGTTATTTAATCTTTTTTTTTTCCTCTCTGTCTCTGCTTACTTTCAATTAACTGCACTTGGCAATATGAGAGTGGGAGTTTATTTTTTGTGAACTTGTCTATATTCTCATGGCAGAACAGGAAGCACTTGGTTTTATGGGCAGTCATTCATTGTATTTTCAAGTCTGAAATTTATCTCCTTGTCAGGCTTTTCTCTTGCCCACATTTCTAGTAATTTTAAGTGGAACTTTACATTGCTTATTTATATAGTTATTTTTATTTTTTCACTTTCATTTCTTTTTCTCTTAAACGATCTAAAAACTTTTTTTTTTTTGTGGACCCGTCTTATACCTAAACAAGCTTATATTTAACCAATAAAGTATTAATGGCCTGTATAGTAACATGGCTTTTAAAGCTGCAAAGCTGTTTTTAAGGCATCAGCAGGTTTTTCAATTGGATTATCAGTCTTTTTGCCACCATCCATCTGTTACTTTCTGAATGGATATAGACAGACATACCAAGCTCATAAGCTCAACTATGCACAAATGTATCATGAACACAACTATTCTGATTTTTGTTATGGTGTGATCAAATCCTATTTAAAATATTGCTTAAAGGGACAGAGTACTTGGTAACTCAAGATGGCTCAGTCAATTTTAGTGAAATTGAATATGGTACACGTTGCAACATTTAATAATTTAAAAACGTTTCTTTTCATTGGGTGTCTCTGCTTTCATTTTCTTTTTTTCTTTTTGTTTTTTTTTTTAACCTGTTAGCAACAAATAATAATCTGTGCAGACGTAATCTGGTATTTAAAGATGTTTAATATAAGGTTGGCTGTTAACAGCTCTGTGCCGTAGGACATTATATGGGTCTCAAATGACGAGGAATGGTGATAAATACACTCTGATCCCTAAAGTGTTGATGTATTTGTCCTGTGTGAGCTTGTTCCTGGGTCACACTGACTTTTGCTTATCTGTTCTGTGTCTGATAACATCACATGAAGAGGACAGCAATGTGGCTGCTTGCTTCCTAGCATCTTAAATGGCTAAAGAGGAATTCTACCATATAACTTCTCCTTAAAGGGTTACTCCAAGCTCCATGATCAATGCTGTATATCAATCCTGATCAAAGTCTTCTATAGACTGAAACGTTGATGTAATGTGACTGTATTCACAATAAATATTGAAATTTGGTTGAAAAGTCCAGTGAGAGCTCTCCTTCATGACCATTATATTTACAATAATAATAAAAAAAAAAGTGGTTTTTTTTTTTTTTTCAACCCTTTATAACATCTGCAGTGGAGTTTGACTTGTTTTGAGGAATTTAATTTTAATCTAGCTGCATATCTCTACATAATTCTAATTTAAAATTTTTTGGGGGGTGTGTTTTTTTTTTTTTTGCGCCTGTGGCTTTACATACAGCTTCTGAGCATTGCACAATCTGGTTCAATCCATTTTAATAGGCTAACTCTGAAGTAAACTTTTTAAGCACCAGAATGTAATTGTAACCACATTGCTCATATATTTTGTAAAACCTTATCTCCTGCTGAAGCGTGGCTTCCTCTTGTGTCTCAATGCAAAAAAGCCTGCCGAGTTCTCCAGTCAAACTGCTCTGCTACTGTGTAACGGTGTTCTGACTTCTTCTGGCCCTGAAAGAAATGGTGCTTAATTTCTTAAGGACCAATGACAGAATTATTTTGTTTTAACCGATCAATACTTTTCCATATTAAAATGGAATGCTGCACAGAGCCGCAAGTGCTAAATAAAGAGGATTTTCCATGCCAGGATATTGGTCTTTAGGGGTCAGATTGTAATATCTTAAAATGTCATTGGTCCTTACAGGAACACTCAAAGTACAGCCTGCTGCAGTGGTTATTGTGCCAAATGGTATGTAGTCATGTGTGTTTTAATACAGTTGACCATTTACCTGGGTACCACTTGGCACCATGGATGCTGCGTCCTGCTTCCAGTTAACACTTAGGAAGAAAGCACTCATTGGCTGAGAAGGTCAGTTGAGTGGAAATGGTTGTGCTTTATTTTAGAGACATCTGACGACATCTAGGTCATTCCTGGCACCATGACCACTAGATTCTAGACTCTAGATTCTACTCGTTCTGCTTTCTAGATCTATTTTAGGGGGTGTTTTGGTGTTCGTGTTGCATATTTCACATTCATTCTTTTAATTTTCAAGCTTGTTTAATTTAGTGTATTTTCTTCTTGTAAATGGTGTGTTTGTAAATGATGCGGAGTTTTGTTAATTTTTTGGCACTGAATGTGATGCGGAAGAGCCAGCATGTTCTACATCTGATAACTAATTATGCTGACATTTAATGATCTTTTCAGGACTGATACTTATGTTTTAAAAATGACAAAGATTGAGTCTGTAAGTGGGTTCTTATATTGCCAAGATTTTGATTTTAATCCGTATATAAAACTCCCATTCCTGCATCTGTAATCTTACAGGGTACTCTACAAAACTCCACAGAAGCATAACAACCACAGTTCATGTACTAAAAGCTCAGGCTATAACGAGTATAGAAAATAATGCAGTGACCATTGCCACCATCTGAATGGAGTGATGATAAAGTGCCTTTCATAGCTTGGGGAGGAAGTGTCCCCTAGCAGGGCAAATCAAAGGAGGTGCACCAATCGGTGGGTGTTACACTATCGTAACACACACTGAACCAGGTTCACTTGAACACAACAGCCTAGATACAGTAAGGCAATACCATTTTATGAAACTTGTCTAAAGTAATGACCCTCCCCCTACAAGCCAAAACAACACTGCGATTTTTGGCTGTCAAGGAGACTGAGTGTCAGTGACCGTCTCCCACCATGGCTACTTCATCCACATGCAAGGTTCCCAGTCTCTGAATGATGTGCATAGCTTTCTAGGACCGTACATGCTTTGTTTTAATTTAAAACTAATCTTATGTTTAGTTTGATATTGGCTTATGAAAAAACTGACGGTTCTGCTTTAAGTATTTGATTGCTTTCGTCTAAGGAGTGTTTTTATACTGTAATAAAATGAGGTGGGGTGGGGGTTGAACTACGCACTGTTGATCTTGAGGTTGCTGATTAGCCTTTTTTTGTTTTGTTTTAAGCATGTAGTCTTGCAGGTTTTTCATTTCTTTTGGAAGGGTAGAAGATGTAAAAATGTAAACAAGAGGTTTCCTAAGAAAATGGTTTTCAAGACCCCCACTCCCCAACTTCCTCCCAAGCCACTCTCCTAATTTCTCTCGAATTCACTTTGTCTTGTTGGGAAGCCTCATACCTTTCCTATTCGTGTAAAACATATCAGTATAGAAAGAACTGTCAACCCCTGGCACATGCTGATCTCATTGAGTTCTGTGTAAAATGCATTGCTCTGGTGTGTACATTAAAGTCCATATAGAAATGGAACCACAGCTGGATTTCAAGTTGCTCCTAGCTTGTCACTGACCATCAGAGCTCTCACATGTCGTTTTTTGTTTTGTTTTGTTTTTTGCAATGTCCCCAGTGTGTGTGGTGGTTGAAATTAAAAAGAGAACAAAAATGCCTAGTTCTTTCTATGTGATGGCAAATAAAAAATGTCTTACTTTGGCACTTTGAAGAAAAAAAATGTTCAGACTTGTTTTAGCTTCTTTCTGACAACATGCACTAGTTTGGGTGAACAGAATGAAATACATTTTTTTTTTTTTTATAGAATCTGTTATTATTGCCATTTTGTATAGTGCCAACAGATTCCGTAGCGCTTTACAATATTATGAGAGGGGGATTTAACTATAAATAGGACAATTACAAGAAAACGTACAGAAACCATAGGTTGAAGAGGGCCCTGCTCAAACGAGATTAGTCTATAGGAGGTGGGGTATAAAACACATTAGGACAGGAAATGGCAATCAAATAAGGTGGGAGAGTAGAGTGCTGCCCTTTAGGAGAGAGCAAATGACCGGTATGTGAGGTAGAGGTTACTCTGGGAGGCCATAAGCTTTCCTAAAGAGATGGGTTTTAAAGCAATTCTTAAAGGATTGAAGACAAGGGGAGAGTCTGATGGCGGTAGGCAGGCTATTCCATAGGAAGGGAGTCGCCCGCGAGAAGTCCTGCAAGCGTGAGTTGGTCATACTTGTGCGAGCAACGGACAGGAGAAGGTGAAGAGATATGAGTGGCTAGAATTTTTCAGTGCTTTTATAGGTATGGGTAAGCACTTTGAATTGACTCCTATAGGATACAGGAAGCCAATGTAAGGACTAACAGAGGGGTGAGGTTTGAGAGGACTGACTAGAGAGGAAAATCAGTCTGGCGGTGGCATTCATTACAGACTGTAGATGGGCAATACGGCTTTTGGGAAGAACAATCAGGAGAGGGTTTCAATAATCCATGCGGAAAAATACTAGAGCATGGACAAGCTCATTGGTAGCATCTTGCGTAAAAAAAAAGGGCGGATGTGGGCTATGTTTTTAAGATGGAATCTACAGGATTTGGCAACTGGATGTGAGGCTCAAAGGTGAGGCCAGAGGCCAGAGCGAAAGAGGCGGATCACTATTAGGAGGAGGAAAGACAAGGAGCTCCGTTATTTATTTATTTTATTTTTTTGAGAGATTGAGTTTCAGAAAGCGGGCGGACATCCATAGAAACATAGAATGTGATGGCAGATAAGAACCATTCGGCCCATCTAGTCTGCCCAATTTTCTAAATACTTTCATTAGTCCCTAGCCTTATCTTATAGTTAGGATAGCCTTATGCTTATCCCACGCATGCTTAAACTCCTTTACTGTGTTAACCTCTACCACTTCAGCTGGAAGGCTATTCAATGCACCCACTACCCTCTCAGTAAAGTAATACGTCCTGATATTATTTTTAAACCTTTGTCCCTCTAGTTTAAGACTGTCCTCTTGTTGTGGTAGTTTTTCTTCTTTTAAATATAGTCTCCTCCTTTACGGTGTTGATCCAGTCAGAGATGGAAGATAGGCAAGCGGTGACACGTTGCAGGATGGCAGGGAAAGGTCCAGGGAGGAGAGGTATAGCTGGGTGTCATCAGCGTACAGGTGCTAGTGGAATCCAAAATAGGTAATACATTTGCCAAGAGAGGCTGTATGAAGAGAAAATAGAAGGGACCAAGGACATAGCCTTGGGGGACTCCAACAGAGACAGGACGAGGGGAGGAGGTATCATAAAAAAAGGAGACACTGAATGAGCGTTTGGAGAGATAAGAGGAAAACCATGAGAGGACAGAGTCACAGAGACCGAGTGATTTAAATAGTTTGAAGAAGGAGAGCATGATTAACGGTGTCAAAGGCAGCAGGGAGGTCAAGAAGTATTAGTATGGAGTAGTGAGTGACCTTTGGATTTAGCTGCAATTAGGTCGTTAGTAACTTTGATAAGAGCAGTCTCAGTAGAGTGGAGAGGGCGGAAGCCAGATTGAAGAGGAAGTGTGTCAAGGAGAGAGTTGGAATTGAGGAAGTGTGACATACGGGTAAAGACAAGTCTCTCCAGAAGCTTTGAGGAAAAAGGTAGCAGGGATATGGGCTGATAGAGGGGGTGGACAGGTCAAGGGATTTAAATAAAATATAAATATATTTTTCAGGATAGGTACTACAGTGGAATGTTTAAGGTCAGCAGGGCCAGTGCCAGGAGAGAGCAGTTGAAGATGTGTGTTAAGGAAGGCACAAGACAAGGGGAGAGAGATCTGATACGGTGAGATGGGACAGGACCGAGCGGGCAAGTGGTGGGGCAAGAGGAAAGGAGAAGTGCAGACACCTCTTGTTCAGTAGCCGTGGAGAAAGTGTGAAGAGTAGGAACGGCATGATCTATGTGTGGTTGAGAAAGAGAACAGCAAGGTGGGGAGAATTATTTCCTTATCTGTTCAATCTTGTCGGTAAAGTAGCCTGCAAAGCTATTGGCTGTACGGTTAGTTTGGGGGGTGGCCACAGCAGAGCGAAGAAGAGAGTTAAAGGTGTTAGACGCCTGGTATGGCGGGAGCATGAACTAATGAGAGGAAAAGTATGACTGTTTAGTGAGGGCAGGGGCTGCACTGTATGAACACAATATGAATCTATAATGGAGAAAGTTCATAGCATGCATAGTAGTGTTTTACAAACTAGTATATGCCACAAAGAAATCTGCTTCAGATAAATCGTGCTGCACAGATGGAGTTAATGTAAACAGTAGCAAGTTTTGTATAGCATGTGTATTGGGTTACACTTAGACAGGTATATTCTGTGTTGTTTACAACTGCGTTGCAGCCTTTAATAACATTCTGCCAATTCCTCAAATGTGCATCTTGCTGCAATATCCCCTCCCCCCCCCCCCAATTTGCTTTATCTACAAGTTTCCCCATTTCATTTGCTTTCTGAAATCGTGAACCATATCTATAAATGTTCATCCTGCAACCCAAGCTATTCCGCTTTATCAAGCTTAAAGGACCACTCTAGGCACCCAGACCACTTCAGCTTAATGAAGTGGTCTGGGTGCCAGGTCCTTCTAGGGTTAACCCATTTTTTAATAAACACAGCAGTTTCAGAGAAACTGCTATATTTATGAATGGGTTAAGCCTTCCCCCATTCCCTCTAGTGGCTGTCTCATTGACAGCCACTAGAGGCGCTTGCGTGCTTCTCACTGTGATTTTCACAGTGAGAGCACGCCAGCTTCCATAGGAAAGCATTGTAAATGCTTTCCTATGCGACCGGCTGAATGCGCGCGCAGCTCTTGCCGCGCGTGCGCATTCAGTCGACGGGGCGGAACGGAGGAGGAGAGAAGGAGGAGAGCTCTCCGCCCAGAGCTGGAAAAAGGTAAGATTTAACCCCTTTCCCCCTTCCAGAGCTGGGCGGGAGGGGGACCCTGAGGGTGGGGGCACCCTCAGGGCACTATAGTGCCAGGAAAACGAGTATGTTTTCCTGGCACTATAGTGGTCCTTTAATGCTAAGTGTTTGAAGAATAATATTTGGTTCTAATCTCATCCATATTTTAATTGTAACCCAGTCATCGTGTATAATATGTAATCAACATAGGGAAAGTTTTTGTATAATATAAATGTGAGCCCCTCTAACTACCCCATACTTGCTGCATGGCTGGTTTTGTAGCGATTCCATAAAAATAGATAGTTTTAAAGACTGTATCTAGCTTTTTCCAGTTACTTTTAAATTATAAACAGGTAGTTGGCTTGTTTCCAGATTCTGTAAAAGTGAATTGCTTTAATTACAGAGTAATTGTTTATTTAGTCCTTGTTTATAAGCTATGATGGCGTCCTCCTATCACATCTGAAATAGCGAAGACTTCTATTATTCTGAGGTTTTAGCATGTGGTCTTTTCAAAATCTACTCTTCCTGTTTTTTTAGTTTTTTGTTTTGTTTTTTTGGTGGGATTGAGGTTGGGTTTGTGTGTGCTTTATTATTTTTTTTTAATTCTTTTTCCCCAACCAGTACTATATACCATAAAGTGGTTTCTGCTAATATACATTTTATTTTTCTCTTGGTTCCATTTTTGGTTTCTTGATTTGTTAGTTCCTTTATCAAGTTATCTGCTCTATGAAGCCTTGCTTACGTAATAGAACAGTCCCCATGTTAAGTAATGGAATGATGCTACCAATCGCTCTTCTTCCAGAATATTGTCCCACAATTTCTCTTTATACATATTCACTAAAGTTTTTTTCTCTTTGTTTACTCCTTGTACATCTGTCATAGAGTAAGTACAGGATAGCAGTCACTGCTGAATGTTCTTCTTGCCTCCGATATTCATTATTTAAGCTGTATTTCGATGCTAGAACCATTTTGGCTCTTTTTGTAGAAATGGGTAATCTGGCACCCTTTGAGAGAGATCGATCATCTTGGATGCAAAAATATATCTTTCTGTATTTGATCCCTTGCGTGACTTTATGTCTCTTCATATACTGTGGTCTTTGTATTTGTCAATGGTTGGTTTTTGTGTTGCTAAAAAGCCAACAATGCCAATTTCCTTTTTGGATTTTAAGAGTGTTTATTCTGTACTCCAATCTCATGGTCAGCTTGCACACTGATAAGGAATGTTAGTTTCTTTTATCATTGTTCCTAGCAAGTTTAATCTAACTGCGTAATAAAAGCATTCATTCTAATTAATAGAGATTACATTGTAAGCTGCTTGGCTGTGCGAGTGCTACTGAGTTGTTTAACAAAGAGCCAATTCATGCAGTGTACCTGTAGATAGCTGGTGGCCTGCCTGACTTAGTACACATTAATGCTATCAAGGGATTGCTCATTAGGCTTGTGTCCGTTTGTGTGGCACAGTTTCATTGGGTCTCTGCAGCCTAAATCTTTACATCCCGTAGATGTGCTTAAGGGAATGTCAGTTTTATTTATGGTTACGTGACATTACATTGAGCATAACTAACCATCACCACATCATTGCTAAATATCTGTATTTATTAGTATTCACTCCAAGCTGGAACTAACACGTGAAAACTGCTATTCAAACCAATAAAACCATGACTGTTAATGTGGGTTTTTTTGTTGTTGTTTTTTTTTTATGTTTTTAATGTATTTTTTTATATCTCTCTCTATCTATCTATCTATATGGATATATTCTCCAATTAGGTTATGGTGGGGAAAAATTGTGATTGAAAACCCCTTCCACCTGAAGTCTGTGGATAGCTAATACAATGTTAAACAAAAATCTGCACACCAGTCAAGCCATAAGACTTGCTTTTCCCACAGAAATCACAAATCTGCAGTGATGTTACAACCGCAAAGGATTCTGGGTGGGCATATGCAAATTAGTTTAACAATCAATCACATTTTTGCCTCATTCTATTTTAAACATGGATTCCATTTAATCTGTGTTTGCTGTATACAACTGCTTGGAACACGATTTAGGAAAAGATGCAAAACCAGTGAACCACTCATGGACAGCTGTTTCGTTGTTAATGCAACTCATCAGCATGAGGTTGGTTACTGGTTTACTTTTGAGGCTTGGTAGTGCTTGGGAAGCAAAATCCAAATAGGTTATTTTTCAATCACAATTTTTCCCCACCGTAACCTATTTGGATTTTGCTTCCCAAGCACTACCAAGCCTCAAAAGCAAACCAGTAACCAACCTCCATTTTTTTTTTTTTTTTTAACCTTGCACTGTTTGTCCTGCTAACAGGTATTTTAGTGCATTTGTTTTTCCTTTTTCTTTTTTTTTTCTTTTCTTTTGAGTAAATGTGACCTACTAAATCTCTTCATCGGTGTTACAGCAACCGTATATTAATGTGAAATGTTGACTTGGATAATATAGCGGGACATATCTACATGATAAGTTGGCTTCCATACAAGAGTAAAGTGGTTGAAGGTATGACACTTTTCAACCTCTCATGATCTTTTTCAGGAAATTTTTGATTAGACTTGTAAATGATTGACCCTTGCCATTTGCCAAGTATGGTGTATTAATGTCCTCATTGATAACGCCATGTTATCTTTGTACGATTCTTTGAATGAAATGAGCTAAAATGAAAAACAATTTTGAAGATATATTTCTCGCCTTTGATTTGCTCCATTTAAAAAAAAAAAAAAATTTTTTAATAATGTTGCCAGTTTTTTGTTTGATGTTCCACAAGTGTTTTAAAAGTTATTAGGGCACTGCTTGGCACATGCAAGCCTGTAAATACAATTTTTTTTGTTAAAGGGGGGGGGGTTTAGACAAATGTAACAAGTTGTTTTTTTTTTTTTTTTTTTCCTCCATTCAAACTTTTGAGATTTGAGCTAAGAGACCAGGTAAATAGATCAGGGCACTTGAATTACTATGGCACATTAAAATATGAACAAAGTCCAGAGCAAAAGGACATTGGAGAGCAAATGGTAGATAACATTGCCAAACCAGGTGTTTGGTCCTTAACCCCTTAAGGTAGAGAAGAATTCACCAGGGGGAAACATTTATCTGATCCTGATTGGTTGCATTCCGCTGGATTTCAAGCTTTGATCCAAAATCCACCAATTGAAACTTTTTGGTCCTGTTTTGTAAAGAAGCCATTTAAAAAAAATAAAAAAAATAAAAATGGTATCATTGAAATTAAAGAATTCCAAAATAAAGGACAAAATGACTGAACTGTAAAATTTGTCAGCTATGTTTACAGTTCAACTGTTTTGGACTTGCATTCGAAATTCACTTTAGATTCCTGACAATTCTCCGATTGGGTAAATAACTCTGGAGAAATCTTCTTCAAAGTGCTCACACATCCAAGTAAAGAAGTGTAGCCAGCCTAGACACAGGTCCTAACACGCCACCATCAAACCTGCTCTTACTCATGAGTTTTTGTGCATTGTGTGAGTTTTTGATCTATGTATTGAAGATTTAAAAAGTGCCGTAGAACTTGCAGGAGTAGTGGCTTGTATTTGTTTTGTTTGTTTTTCTTTTCCCTTTCCTTTCACTAGGAAATACTTCTCTTCCTTTGGTTTGGTTATTGTTGCATGCTACTAATGCCAATATTTTCTATATGGCTGACAGATCTTACTGAAGATCTCGTACTGATTCTTAAAATAATATTCCTAATTGGCGCTGTAGCTTTAGTAAATTAAGGTCGTCAGTGCTTGAAACCTTACTTATTTTAATTTTATTTTTTTAAACTGCTAAAAAAAAAAACGGCATGAAAGTATGTGCAAATTCATAGCCATTCAGTGTCTATGTATGGGGGAGGATGAAAGAATCAAACAATTCCCAGAGAGCAGGGTACCACCAGGTATGAACAAGCTGGAGCGTGTTCTAACTGCTCATCCAAAGGCAGTGTGCACAGAGAAATGGACAATCAACTCTTTTCCCTCCCCCCTCGTTTCCCAAAGCTGGTCTGTGTGTGTTCCTGGAAATAGAGGCTGACGGTTAGCCATTTGAATAGCTGCACTGAAACATACAGGCTTGTGTTTACTAAGCAGCTCTGTTACCTGAACCAACATCCTGGCTGAAAGAACCTTTGCTAGATGTTTAAATCAAATTGGCTGTTGGTGGGGACAAAGAAGAGGAAAATTAAAAGCTGGAGAAGTCTTGTGGCACCCAATATTGAACTAAACCCGGCTTCTTACCCATTTTAAATGTCATGCCAGTTTTATTTAATTTTAGCCTTTCTTTGTCTTGTTTTTGGAGTCTTAAAGGACCACTATAGTGCCAGGAAAACATACTCTTTTTCGTCCCACCCTCAGGGTCCCCCTCCCGCCCAGCTCTGGAAGGGGGAAAAGGGTTAAAACTTACCTTTTTCCAGCGCTGGGCGGGGAGCTCTCCTCCTCCGTTCCTCCCCGTCGGCTGAATGCGCACGCGCGGCAACAGCTGCGCGCGCATTCAGCCAGTCGCATAGGAAAGCCTTTACAATGGTTTCCTATGGACGCTGGCGTGCTCTCACTGTGAAAATCACAGTGAGAAGCACGCAAACGCCTCTAGCGGCTGTCAATGAGACAGCCGCTAGAGGCTTTGGGGGAAGGCTTAACCCATTCATAAACATAGCAGTTTCTCTGAAACTGCTATGTTTATAAAAGAATGGGTTAACCCTAGCTGGACCTGGCACCCAAACCACCTCATTAAGCTGAAGTGGTCTGGGTGCCTAGAGTGGTCCTTTAATGAGGTGGTCTGGGTGCCAGGTCCCTCTAGGATTAACCCATTTTTTTTATAAACATAGTTTCAGAGAAACTGTTTATACATGGGTTAATCCAGCCTCTAAAGCCTCTAGTGGCTGTCTCATTGTCATTCTCATTCTCATTCTCACTCAGGGCCGTCTTTAACGCGGGGCAAACGGGGCAGCTGCCCCGGGCCCAGTTTCTCTTGGGGGCCCGAGGCACCTGCCCCGTGGGCCCCGCTGACCCCAGCTGGCGGGTGGCCGGTCGGGCAGGAAGGCGGGCGCGCGAGGGAGCACTCACTGCTTCCTCTTCAGCTCCCTCGCGCGCCGCGTAGGGATGCCGGAGCTGGAAGATGACGTCATCTTCCGGCGCCGGCATCCCTACGCGGCGCGCGAGGGAGCTGAAGAGGAAGCAGTGAGTGCTCCCTCGCGCGCCCGCCTTCCTGCCCGACTGGCCACCCGCCCAGGAGCCCAGCAGCACCACTGGACCCCAAGGAATCCCCCCAGCACTCCAAAAGGTAAGGAGGCTGGGGCGGATTACATTTAAAAAAAAAAAAAATGTGTGTTAGTGTATGTGTGTGTTAGTGTATGTGTGTGTTAGTGTATGTGTGTGTTAGTGTATGTGTGTGTTAGTGTATG